AGGCTGGAGCCTCCTCCTCGGCCGCCCGCGTGAGTGCGCCGCGCTGGAAGGGCGCCAGGCGGCCGTGCGCGCAGCCCCAGCCAGGAGGGGCCGTGCGCCCTGGCCACGCCGCGCTCCCCGCCCCGCCGAGCTGCGCACCCGCCCGCCCAGCGCATCGCGGTTGCAGAGGGCTTTCAGGGCTAGCGGGGTCCCCAGGTCATCCCCGGAAGTGTCCTCCCCACCTGGAAGCCAGGCAGCGGAGGGAGGGGGCCGTCCCTCTGAGAGGCAGACAGGACCACCAACCGTGCTTGCCAGCCGCGCTGAGTCCTAGTCCCTAGAGGCCACATTTACTGGCTGGCTGTTCCTTATCTCTGTATCCGAGGCATGACTTGCCTGGCACCGGCCCAAGAAAATCTGACTGAGCTGAGTGGCGAGTGGAGTTTTAAACCAGTCCTGTAATGGTGTGGGCTGTGATTTCTTACCTAGTGTATAATACATACTATCAAATCTTCTCGAGATATATACATCATGGGCACAAGGAGCCTTCCTGTCCAGTGGCCTGGCTGTCCCCTAGATCGACTGCTTCTAAAATGTCACTTGGGAAGCAGTACCGGTGTGCTGAAGGCTTTTGGTTCCTCCACCAAACCGTAAAGGTTTTCAAAGAGACAGAGCATGGCATAGGGCCACCTCGGTCAGACCCCCTGCACACATCCTTCAAGAGGCCAAGGCACCTTGGAAATGTAAGGGAAAGTTCTCAGTTGAACTTCTTTTCCTAATCCTAAAACCACCACTTTCTGGAACATGCTGCTTTTGAAACACCATCCAAGGGTTGCCGAAGAGGGCTTTGCTTAAAATATATCGCGGAAGTTTCAATAATGCTGTGACTTCAGACTGAAAGCTGGCCCATATGCCCTGTTGTAGGTGTTAGGTTTGAGATTGCTCTGGGAAAGAAGAAACCTCAGAAGTAATACTGACCAGTGGTGGGGACCAATGAAAGTCATGGGCTGGATGAGGGACGTGTTTTGTGCGCACTTTGAGGCAAGTACTTTGATTCTCTGAATTGATAATTTGTGGCCCAGCACCACCTAACCCAGAAATGATATTAAAGAAAGAACTGATCCAATCAGTTTCCCCCTTCCACGGGAACACAGAGTGTTGATGGGCTGGCTCATGCTTCTGCCATGGAAGCTGTGAATTCACAGAATTCTCAGGTGGTAGGAGTGGGCCAGACCTCTGAATATATGTACTCTGCCTTTTCTGGACATTACTCTTTTTTTTTTTAAAGGTTTTATTTATTATGTGTACAGTATTCTGTCTGAATGTATGTCTGCAGGCCAGAAGAGGGCACCAGATCTGATTACAGATGGTTGCAGGGAATTGAACTCAGGACCTTTGGAAGAACAGGCAGTGCTCTTAATCTCTCCAGCCCCCTGGACATTACTCTCTAAAAAGCTAGGGAAACAAAACAGAAAAACCCGGTGAGGTTCAAGAAAGAGCGAATACCAGCCCTGGGAAAGAACACTCATGCTGGCTGATTCTTTTAACTGCCTGGTTATGAGAACTCTCATCTCTGATCTGTCTTCCTCTGTCATTTTTGGATCATTTTAATAGAAACATATTTCTTTTCCACCAAAGCATTCTGGTATGGAAACATACATGAGACCAGAATGTCAGCAGTTGAGATTTGGTGGCAATTCCCTTATGATTTTGGTTAGGGATCTAAAAACCACAGCTAAAATCTCCCTTTTCTGGAAGAGTATTCCTATTAGGCAGACTGAGCTCCCTGGGTTGTCTGCTCCTCTGCCCGCATCTGTCACGTGCGCGGTGCTCTAGCTGGGACGTGAAACAGCCCCCAGTTTATATATGAAAGGCCGGGCCTCCAGCATGTGGCACTGTTGGGAAGCAGAGTGGCAGAGTTACAGGGGTTATTGGCAACGTAAAACCAAAGAGGATATAGGTGCCCCGACTCCTTTTCAGACAGTCGTGAAGTGGGCAGCCCTCTTTTGTCACATGCTCTGACCACAGAACCAAACAAGCAGGGCCAACCCCTCAGAAACCACCAGCCCAAGTAAGGCTTAGCGCTGCTCCAGTTGTCACAGGGACGGAAAGCTGGCTTACAGTCAGCAAGGTCATCAGCCCAGTCTCGGCTCTGTATATCTTCACACCTTGCATCTGGCCCGGCTTTGGAGTGGTTCTGCTCACAGCTGTAACTGCGCCCTGCCCACCCCTCCCACCTCTCTGCATGACTTTTATGCATGGTGACCGAAAACTTAAGAGCAGTGCCGTCAGGGAGGAAAGATTTCTTTCCCCTCCTGGTCTGAGAAGAGACAGTCTGTGGTGGCAGAAAAGCACTGTTCTGGAAGCAGCTTGGGGTGTTGAGGCTGAAGCCGGAGGCGACTGGTTTCACTGCCTTGGCAGGAAGACGAATGGTTTGGAATGCCCAGCCCTCTATGGTCCATCTGACAGCTATATCCCATTTCCCAAAAGTTTCAAAGTCTCCTGTGCTAGGCACTTGTCTGCTGTGAAGATAAAGCACAGACCCAAACCAAACTGGAGACGAAAGGGTTTATTTGATCTCACAGGTTACAGGTTATCACGAAAGGCACTCAGGGGAGGAACCTGGAAGCAGGAACTGAAGCAGGGGCCAGGGGGAGCTCTGCTTACTGGCTTACTCCTTACTTCCCTGAGCACCTGGTACCGAGACTATGTGGACACAGAGGGCACCATCTGATAGAAGTGCCTATCATTCAACATCAGCACACAAGCATAGGTGTCACAGTCGGGCCAGGACCTGGGGAGGCACCTGTGACAGAGATGGAAACTCCAGCCACCTTGAGAAGTGGGCATGAACGCCTACATCTCAGACTACTGTCTCCACCCTCTTTGGGTGCTGCCCCATAGGGGCTGGTCTGGTGGCAAATGTCACCTTCCAGATGTGGTGACAGAGGTCACAAAGACAGCCCAGGATGCCTCCTGTGTGCAGAACCTACTGGGGTTTTGAGCATAGAAACCCTAACTGTTAAACTGGCTGCATTCGTAAGAAAAAGAATGCGGCATGGGAGGTCACTGCTGATAAACAGGAAGGGACTGAGCCGAAGAAAGGGCAGATGGTCTTGATTCAGCAATAAGGGTAGATGAGGGCTCACTGTGACAGTTCCCTGACACAGGACTCGGTGAGTGCTGCGCAGGCACCTCTATGTCCCCCCTCATATCTCACACAGTGAGATTATCATTTCTGTCTTACAGCTGAAGATCCGGGGACACAAAGTGACTGACACGCAATTCAAACTCCCATCAGCCTGAGTAGAGAGCCAAGGCACACGCCTCTGCCTCTCATGGTCCTTCTGGTGTTCACGGGGAACTGTAGTGTGTGGACAGAACATGACACCAGATGTTCCCCTATCAGGCAAGGGAGGCACATGTGTCCTCACTTGCTCACGTGCGACGTGAGGGGAGTGTACACTCGCGTCCCTTCTACAGGAAGCGGAACAGCCTCAGGCTGCTGTCCTGTGAGAACTGGGGTATGTTTACAAAAGATAACATCTAGAACTTTTTTTTTTTTTTTTTTTTTTTGGTTTTTCGAGACAGGGTTTTTCTGTGATTTTGGAACCTGTCCTGGAACTAGCTCTTGTAGACCAGGCTGGTCTTGAACTCACAGAGATCCGCCTGCCTCTGCCTCCCGAGTGCTGGGATTAAAGGCGTGTGCCACCACCGCCCGCCCGGCTTAAGAACTTTTTGAAAGATGGCTCAGCCAGGAAAAGTCCTTGCTGTACAGAATTAATGCCCGAGTTTCATCCATTGAACCCACTGGAGAGTTTTTCTCTGACCATTGGATGTGCTGGATGTGAGCTCTCAAAGCCTCCACATCATATACAACGAGCCCCAGACCCAACAGCCAGAGAGAAGTCTGAGGGTGCCAAGTGTGAACCCAACTGCGGCTGTGACCAGTCAGACACACCCCTTCCAGGGAAATGCCAGAGAAAGCTATGTACAGACTAAAACTTCTTGTTCTTCATCTTTGTAGGGTAGGGTAGGCTCACACGGACAATCTCAGGTGCCCTCACCTTTCCACCTTGGTTGAGACAGGGTTATTCCAGCCCGTTAGGTTAGCAGGTTCTGGGTATCAACTTGCCCTTTTCTCATAATGTCTCTGATTATATTCTAATTTTTAGCTTCGATGTTTCTGTATTTATAGAGGTAAATATGGAGCTACACACACACACACACACACACACACACACACACACACACAGAGAGAGCTCTCATTATCCTCTTTAAGGGTACACCCCCAGTGCCCTAACTTGTTCTAAGTGCCACCTCCTAAATGTTCCATTCTTCCAGTCAGTCAGTCAGATGTGCTGGGGCCCAAGCCACAAATACATGTGTGTTCTGCATGTATTTCAAACAGAAACTATCACAACTTTTATTATGCTTAGTTTCTCTATGATGTCAGAAATGATTTAATTTTGTTGTTGTTGTTGTTGTTGTTGGAGATTCTTTTTTTTTTAATTGCATTGGCCTCTTCAATATCTTAATTCTGGAATCAAGTAAATATATTTATCATTAGTTAGAAACATTTTTGATAAAAGGCTTCCAGGGGTTGAGATACAGTTTAGGATTGCCTGTATTGCCCAAGAATGTTTGAAGCCAGCAATGACATATGAAGGATGAAAAGCAAACAGAATTTCCGCACAAATCCCAGAGGGGAAGGTTATGGGGGTGAGAGACGGCACAGCACAATACAGGCAAAGTTAAGGAGACGGACAGAACAAGGAAGCAGCTACTTTCAGCACAGAGACATTTCACACGATTGTGGCAATCTCCTAGTATTCCTAGTATTAAATAAAGCCACTGCAACACAGGTAAGCCTGCATTTGAACTTATCGCCAACTTCATCTTTAAGTGACTGTTACAGACTGGACAGGCACCTTTAAGACATTTCTTGTCTTCCATCTCAAAGTGTCCATCTCAGAACCTTAATGACAGGAGTCAAAATAAAGACTACGAAATAAAAGAAAATCTAACTTATGACACAAATACGTAAAAATTTATTTGTCCCCAAAGACATCTCATGGTTTGCAGATAGTGAGGATGGGTCCATCACAGCTTCATTGAAAAATCCTGATTTCAAGTGAAATTGCATGACACCGTAGGTCAAAGTGCAGTCCAGTCCCGGCAGCAAGCTAACTCATCTTCCTCGTTCGCTCGAGCTTCCAGGCGCCCAGCAGATACCGTAGTCGGATGAAGAGCAGATCTCTGCCCATTTGGAGCCAGCTCCAAAACGGAACCAACTTAGAACCTGCAATTAAGAATCAATTAAACTGCAAGAAACATGCAGAAGTTCAAAGTTGTATCCTAAAAGTGGCTGGGGCTGGGAGGTAGAGAACCGTTTTCTACATGTGTGAATACCTGGGCACGTGTGTACACACACAACCACGCGCACACACACACATGCACACACACGCGCACACATGGAAGGGGGAAGTTAGTGACCTTTGAGAGCACCTAGCATCTTGATTTTATTTAAATACTTTTTTAAGTTATAAAGCTGAAGTGACTCTCCTCCCAAAACAAAGCTACGTCTCTAAGTGCAAGGAAACTCAGGTGACTCTCAAGAATGAATGTTTCAGACACCAAGAGAAGGCTTTGTGCATGGACAGAGTACTAGGAACTGGGTGGCAGCTACTGAAAAGTAATAATTTCACAGAACACTATAAACACACACACAAAAGGCCTACAAATGAGTCTCTCTTTCTCCCTCCCTCCCTCTCTTTGTCCCTCCCTCTCTCTCTTCTCCCTCTATGTCTATTTCTCTCTCTCTCTCTCTCTCTCTCTCTCTCTCTCTCTCTCTCTCTCTCTCTCCTGGAGAGAAGCTCAGCTAAGGCAAGTCTTGGACTCACTAGTAGTCCAACCTGGCTCTGAACCTGTGACCTATCCTTGCCTCACCCACCTGAGGCCTGGACCACAGGTGTGCACCCCACACCAGCAATGCCTAGACTCAACAGTGACAATGATGCCTGTGTCCAGACGGCAGCTGCCTACCGCTCTGCCTCCGGCTACAAGGGAGTAGCAGTCTAAGTGGACGTCTGGTCCCTAAGGACACTGCTGTGGTACCTGCCAGTCAGTGAGCATCTATCAGGAGGAAGGCTCAGTGCTCATCACTTCTAATAAGCTCCACCCCCAAAGCAGACCCTCCTTCCACCCTGAGCACAAACAGCTTTCTTCTGGAAACATGGCCACTAACACATTCTGGAGACATTCTCTATTGCTAACTGGGGACAAACCAGGAAGAACTCTAACACAACTGCCTCTGAGATGCAGAGGAGCTAACAGCACACACCTGAAAATGATTTTAACCCTCAGCTCCTTCAAACTACCCACAAGGTTGTCCTCTTTGACTCTAGAATAATGGTGTGGATTTTTCTAAGTTTCTATAAACACACTGTAGTTTGTAGAAGCCAGAGACACCCAAACTCAGGCATGACACATGCTTCTGCATCAGGACTCCCAGAGGGGGGTTGGAGGCCAAGTGCACAGGAGCGGAGACTGCAGAGGACTTCAGCTGATCACACCACTGCCCCACACAGTGAAGAGTTTGGGTTTGTCCCAAGGTAAATGCAGGAGACAGTGAGAGCTCACCCTGCACACAGACAGCCTGTTGGGAAGGAGCCTGACACACGTTTATAAAGATTTCACGAGGTTGAATTTAAGAGGCCTTTACACTGGGGATTATGTGTAGCTACATCTAACCCTGTGGAGGCTGGGATGAGGACAGCTTAAGTCTGTGAGTTCACGATAAGCCTAAGAAATGCAATGAAACCACACTTAAAACAAGGGCACGTGTTCTGGATGGCTATGACACTCATGGTCCCTCCTTAGCTTCGCACAGGGGTTTGTAGTGCCCAGCTAGTAACACTTGAGCACCAGGACCTTGTCTGTTGGGAACCTGGGCCAGGAGGAAGCCCATCAAAGACTCAAAAGAGACTGGAAAAACAGCAGAAAGAAATTTGATGGAACACAGAGAGCTCTGTGGAGAGGTGGGAGGCCCTGGTGAAGGACAGGGGTCGACGGGTGCCAGCAGACTCTCTCAGACAACTGCACTGCCCAGCTAAGGACCAGCTGTAAAGAAACAGTCCACTCACCCTCAATTTCAGTCCAGTTGACGGCGACTTCCGCTATTGGAATTTTAAGAAATTGTGCTATGTATAGCAGTTCTACATCAAATGCCCTGAAATAGAAAATATATTGTTTATTTTAGAAAGGACAAGTGGGGCATCAATCAGATGTCTAGCAGGGCAGTTGTGAAACTTCTACATAAAACTGAAGGCCAGGCCCACAGAGGGTCAAATAAGTGGACACCGAGTGGATCGAAAGCTTCAAGGAGAACAAGATATGTAACATTTAAATGAGAAAAGGTGAACCTCAGCCACAGCTCAGAAACCCTCAGACGAAGTCTGCCTTGCGTGCTCAGCAGACACACTTTAACGCTAGGAGTTTGCAAGAAGGACGCTTTCTCTCTTAGCCTTCCCCAGCTAGCATACAGAATTGCCAGGCTCCTGTTAAGGCCACTCTGGTCACTTGGAGCTGCTTCTCCATGTTCTCCTCTCAGCCCTGGCTGTCCCTCCCCTGTGCTGTCTTGGATAGAGTGGGTCCTGGCAGCTACTGAAGCCTCCCTAGTCTAGAAGGCTGTAGTGACAGGCACACCCGCAGGGTGACGCTGCCCCAATGCATGATTGCAGCCATGTCTAGCCTGAGTCCTTCCTTTCACACAGAAGCACATCTTCAGATGCACTATTTTCATCAAGAAAGCAACACCGCAGCTGGGGCAGGAGCTGGGAATGCTGGGTAAGCCTCTGAGAACCAAGAATGATTAGCATGGGATGCTGACCATGGAGCAAACATAGACACCTGGACCCGAAGACCACCTATTTGACACTCCACCCATTTTAATGGAGGAAATTAAAGACTTTAAACACACACACACACACACACACTAATTTAAATTTTGACTCTAGTTTAAGAGAATTTTGGGGAGTTTATCTGAAACCTATTTCTAGGGAGGATGACCAATCTTCAGAAACAGATCCACAAACGTGGCAGAGACATCGAACATGGGCTTATCTTAGATAATCATGGCTACCAATCAGGAACAAGTTACAGAGAACTTTCAATTAATGCTCAGCAAGGATGAGCGTTATCAGTAGTATCCCCGGGCAATGAAGAATGCCAAGCACTCTTTGTAGCAGAGGAGATTAGTGAGTCAAGTCAGGAAGGATTCCTTCCCTTCTAGAACTTTCTTCCTCGCTGGAGATGGAGCCCAGGGCCTCATGCACGCAAGCACTCTTCCAACTAAGTGACATTCGTAGCCCCTCAAGAGCCTGTGCTTGGAGGAGAGCGATCAGACTGAAGCAATGGCCCCGGGAGTGAGAACAGGTGTGATGACTGTACCAGCTCACGGCTGGGACAGACGGGACACAGGCGGGGCAGCTTTGCAATTCCTCCACAGGTCGAGGGAAGCCAGTGCAGGATTCGAAGCAGAAGTGTGACTGTGATTACAAAGATCCCTTGGGCTGCGAGGTGCTGGGGGTGGAGAGAAGCTAACGGGCTGTGGCCGCGGCTAGTTCAGGAGACAGGAATGACAAGTATGTAAGGTAGGAGAGGGACAAGATGGGGAGATGAAGGCAGCAAACATAGGGCACTCTTTCAATAAAAGGCAGTGGACGGAGCAAACAGGGCTGCACAGACAGGGTCAATGAATGGGGTTTGAAGGCAGATGAGCCAAGGAAAGGATGAACACACGAGAGAAAAGAAGTGGAAAAGGCTAGGTTTGAAGATGGCAGGAGAGAGCTCAGCAAAGAGCCAGGCTCAGGAGAGAGACCTGTCAACTGGAATGGATCATGAGGGGCAGAGGGAGGCTTAAGGGTGAATTCTAGCCACACGGCTGACACTGCCGGTGTTAGGTGAACATATAACACATGTGCCAATCTGGCTACATCTGGATACTCATCATATCCAGATGAGACAACAGGGCTATATCCTATCATCTGGATGCCAGATAGGAAGGCAAGCATGAGACATTCCAGTCAGAAACCTACCATCGTTCGATGTGCAGAGATGAGAAGGTCCGGGCTGCTGCTTCTCGGGTCAGTAATTTGAACCCGCACTGCGTGTCCCTGATTCCTTTGACACATAGGAACCACACCAGGAAGTGGAATCCATACATAAGCAGAGTACGGAAGTAAGAACGCTAAAACAAGGGCAAAAGAGAAATCATTTTTCCATTCTGGGAGACACTGGGCTGGGGGGGGGGGGGGGGGGGCTCCAGTCTAGACAGCAGGTGTTGGAGGCATTGTGAGCAGGGTGCTGCTTCAAGAGCAGAGCATCATGGGAGAAGTTATGTTTCCTGGGGCCTGGGTAAGAGCAGAAGTTCAGGACCCGAGGGGCCAGCTCTGCATTGACCTATCTGCTTTTGTTCTTAACCATCAGTGTAAGAACAAATACAAAAGAAAGGTGTCCTCTGAGCAGAGTTGAGCGCTGCCTCCGAGGCTGAGAGCAAGCTGGTCTTGAGTAAATTAGAGTGGAGTGGCGTCCACTTTACAGAGTTAGTAGGAGAGTAAAATAGAATTATGTCAAAGCTGTGAGCCATGTGCTTGGCCGGAGAGTAACAGGAACTCAGTAACGGTTTTATACGGAAGGCTGACAGCTTTCCTCTCAAGCACAGCTCCACTGTGACTGGGCGGGAAGGGATATCAAAGCCCCCGTCTATGAAAACTGTAAAGTCATCGGTCACCAATCATGTTCTGATGCAGTGGCTCTTACCTCTCTGAGCATGTGAGGGCGGGGAAATCTCATCTTAACACACTTTGGGAAGCTCACATCTGCCTGCTCAGTGTCTTCCACATAAAATACTTCCAATAAGTACCAGAAGACTGACTAATCTCCTCAAAGGGCAACTATGCTAAGGAAAGGGACAAACAGAAACTGAAAGATAGGAAAATGAAAATTCAAGGTGGAAAACACACATGTAAACTTCTGCTTGAACAGTTTTCAATGTGATTTGTGTGAGCATGGAAAACATTCCCATTTTTTGCTTGGTGGTAACAGGGCTTTGTCGTATTTTAGAATGCAGCTGTTTATTAAAAAACAGAAGGTGAGGTATTCACAAGAAAAGTCTAATGTGTTTGTTTTGTTTTTTGAGACAGCTTTTCTCTATGTAGCTCTGGCTGTCCTAGAACTCTCTCCGTAGTCCAAGCTGGCTTCAAACTTGGAGATCAACCTGCCTCTGCCTCCTGAGTGTGGGATGAAAAGTGTGTGCCAGCCTAATTTATCTGATTTCTAACACACATGAAAGCATAATAGGGACAGAGAGATAACTCAGCAGGCAAGAGCACTGGCTGCTCTTGTGGAAGACCTGGGCTCAGTTTCCAGCAGTTCCAGGGCCTCTGATGCCCTCTTCCGGCCTCCAAAGTTACTTCACATGTATGGTTCATATACATGTAAGCAAAACATACATACATATAAAATAAAAAAATAAAGAAAAAAGCAAAATAATCTAGATAAACCACAAAGGAAATTTTGCTTTAATTTTTGAAACTTAACTTAAAAATTAGAAGATACCTAAAATATATTATGAGACAAACTTTAGTAGATGAAGTTAACAAAGAAATAAGAGTTTAAGCTGGGTAGTGGTGGCACACGGCTTTAATGCCAGCACTCAGGAGGCAGAAGCAGGCAGATCTCTTTGAGTATGAGGCCAGCTTGGTCTACAGAGGGAGTTCCAGGACAGCTAGGGCTGTTACACAGAGGGAAAAAGAAAGAAAGAAAGAAAGAAAGAAAGAGAGTCTAATTTATGAAATGGATATTTAGTATTAGGAACGATACTGCCTCAGAATTAATAACAGTATCCCTAAGGTCTATACAGTGCAGGAAGAAGGAGAAATATAAAGCTTACTGATAATTTCTTTAAAAACTAAAGGCATCAAACAAATGCCAAAGGATTCTACTCCTGAGTGCTTCTAAATGACAAACTCCAAAGGCACCCACAAAGAACCTAAAGCATTCTATCTGTGCCTCGCCTGCCTTCTGGGGGAGCAGCAACAGATGGAATGATGCTGAGGATGCAGTAAAACACAGAAAAGCAGCATCCAGATGCTGTTCGTAAGCCACTCAGCACTCAGCCTGCTATTTGGCGCCCTAATTCTCTGATGATTTTTTTCCACTGTGCTCGGCTTATGTTATGTGTGGTGTAGGAGGAGAAATAGAAGGCCATGCTGTCACTCCTCAACTAGATGCCTCCTGGAAACAGCTTTTCCTAAGGCAGGAGTAGCTAATGATCTGGACAGCAGTTCCACTAGGCGGCAGTCACGAGCAGCAATGCAGCAGGCAACCTCTCCTTGCCAGTGAGTGGATCAGGCGGTCCTTTCTCTGCATAAAGGGCAAGAAGCCCTGAATCAACCACTAGGTTGAGAGGTGAAGAAATGGATGCAGAACAAGTTGCTATAAATATGTAGACCTGGGAGAGTCCTAGTCAGCCTCCAGAGTGCTGGGAGCCCCATTGTGCCAGGCTTCACGGAAGTTTTAAGTCAAGAGAATTTACATCTTTAAAAATAAAACCAAAGGGCTGAGGATAGAACTCAGTGGTGAAGCACTGGCCTAGAGCACACAAGGCCCTGGCTTGGAGCCTCAGTACTGCAGGAAACAAAGGATTAACCCAAAACACACAGCCCAGCAGCATGCAGAGGCCACCTCTCTCCTCCAGATGACTCCAGTGGTTCCTGATTCTTCATTTCTCACTTTTTAGTTTCCTTCACCAAACAGATTAGCCCTGGCCTATAGTGCTTCATATTAAAACAAATTAAAAAAAAGATTTAATTTTATGTGTATAAGTGCTTTGTCTGCAAGTACGTCTGTACCGCATACGCACATACAGTTCCAGAAAAATGTGCTGGACCTCCTGAAACAGGAGCTGTAGACGGCTGTCAGCCACCATGTGGGGGCTGGGAACTGAACCCAGTGCTCGTAACCACTGAGCCAACTCTAGCCCCAAGCTTCGTAGTTTTAAAAGGGAAAATTTACTCAGATTTCTTTAAATTATTAATGTCAACCTGTTTTCATCTGCAAAGCAATTTTTGCTGTGTTTGCGGAGGTAATTCTGCTGTGTTCTCAGCATCATGCTCAGGCCACACAAAGCAAACTCCACACATTCATGACAGTCTGCAGTCAGACTGCTGGCTGGGGTCAGTGTCCTCCTGGGACACAGTCACATTCCCCTTTGCTGAATTCTGGACCTCACTACCTCAGCAAAGTGCTACCCCTCCTGGACACATTCTTTTTCCTTTCTTTCTCCCAAGTATAAAGATGTCAATCAAGTTCAACTTGCCTCTCTCTCAGCTTTCTGTAATAGATATTCTCCATGCTTAACAGATTAACATTTTCAAACACTAATGAGAACTGCATGGGACATAAAATATTAAATAGATATTAAAAATCGATTATTTTGGAGCCGGAGAGATGGCTCAGTGGTTAAGAGCACTGGCTGTTTTTGCAGCAGTCTTGGGTTGGGTTCCCAGCACCACACTGTGGCTCACAGACATCTGTAACTCCAGCTTTAGGAATCCAGTGCCCTCCTTTGTCAGAGCCAGTCATGCATGCAGTACACAGACACACAACAACACACGGGCAGAACGAGTGTCTAGGGAAACTCATGTTCAAGTCCCCTTCCAGCTTCAGGAGCTGTCTCTCTGCTTCCCAGAGAATTTTGCTGCCTTACCCATAAACATCTGCAACCCTGCTGCCTGTGTCCTGGTAGAGTTTAAACTCTCCTCCTACCAAATTACAGAATCACGGAGGGGAGATATTTATTTTAATAGTTCTAGAATTAATGTGCACCATGTAACCTGTGACCTGCTGAAAAGGCAGGCCAGGGTCTCATCCTGAGGCTGACTCAGAGTGATGGGCTGTCCTCCTCTTACGTGCTATAAGTCCCTCCCCAGGCCACAGACTGACAGTGGCTCTTTATTCTTGGTGATGAACCCCTGCAAACACGGCGCTACTGGACTTGACACCCAGAATCTCCAATTTTAAGTGGAAAACCCTGACTGTGACTTCTAAAACACACACACACACCTCCTCACTGAAATTCCTAGCCTTTGAGTTGCTCTAGCTTTTTAGGTGTGATCTACAAAAGAGTAGCCTGCAGTCTTTGGTGACATGTAAAAGGAACTGGCATGAGTCTGACAATTGTCAGTTAAATGACTTTTTTTACAGACATGAAACAAGAAATATTTAAACTCTGAACAAAACTCAAAATATACTTGGACTAGAAATTACTTGGGACTAGCAAAATTTCAGAGTTTGTATGTTTTTTCATACTTTAGAATATTTTGTATACCTCCACACACATACACACACACAATTTAAAAAAGAAATTTCTGTTTAGAAAAGTCTGCCTTGTCCGACTGATGCCCTCTGTATCTTAGACACAATCCTAAGAGTGCTTATATCCTGAGGTAGAGCCTCGCCCATCCTGTGTACTTACGCTAATCTTGCATGAATTCCAGTGAGGTTGAAGGGAAGAGAAATTTTGAGAGAAAACACAGGCACCCATTTCTTATTAGATGTGCTTGTGTGTGTAAAATGGGGTTAAGGGTTAACAAGCTACTATCTGTGGCAGCTTGGGAAAGCCTCACCTGAGCAATTGATTCTTTCTCCAAATGAGCTCGAGACCCACAGGCGATGGCCATTTGATCCTAAGGTAAAAGCAACACCATAATTTTCTTTAATATTTAAGGATCACATATGAATGCACTCATCTTCAATGCAAAGGTCTCACCTTTAGGAACACTTTGAAAAACAACACTAATATTTGTAAAGTCTATTGAGGGCGAAGCATATGCACAGCCTGGAGACAGCTAGTTGTACTGATTAGGATTCTGTTTGGTGTGGTGGCGCACACCCTTAATCCCGGCACTTGGGAGGCAGATAGAGGTGGATCTCTGTGAGTTCAAGGCCAGCCTGGTCTACACAGTGAGAACCTGTCTCTAAACAAAAAGAAAGTTGAATTTTAGGTAAATTCTGACTTCGCTTTTGAGCCCTGTGCACCTGATCTTCCCATGCAGTGAATTCTTATACTCACAGGCCACGGCCGGAGATCACTCAGCCCCTTTTCTAGTTTTTCAACATCTGGAAATTTTGTGGCTCCATCAGCATCCGCCATGAGGATCTTCTCTCCTCGAGAACTGAACACACCCTGAATTCACAAATACCAGGAGAAAGAAAGTTGCTTAGAAGTAAGTTCAAACTCCATGGCATCTCAGCTCATCCTGAGTGGAGTATTGGGTATAATACGGCAGAAGGAGGCCAAAGTTCATAGCTATGCAGCCAGGACGGCCCACAGGATCTCCTGCCCATTTCACTGTTGCAAACACTTCACACTCCGCCTCTAATACCCTGGAACTGTCAGCGTGAATGCAGTCAACCTGGAGGAAACGAGTCCTCAGCACTGGCACAGAAAGCAGGACACACCCCACACATCTATGCGCCATGTTAGGGGGTCAGTGTCACATGACTTGAGGCAACTCATGCACACGTAAAGAACTGTCCCCAAACAGAAATAACACACATGCTCTGAGTGCATCTGTAATCCCCAGCCAGGAGGAGGCAGCAGGAGGATTTCCAGTCTGAAGCCTCATATTCTTGAGAAGGGCACGGTGAAAGTGACTTTTCTTTATTATGGTGCCATAAGCATTTTAAATTAGTGGCTGAACAGGGCAAAGGTGGTGTCACTAACTTTTTACTGTTCGTTGGGGCAACTGACACTTGGTAAATCAGGTTGGCCATTGGTACAAACCATGACTAGCTGTGCATATATTTACAAGGAAATTAATTTCTGCGGTGTGCCGGAGTGACGCAGCACTTGGTCAGCACTCATGCTGACTGTGAACAGAACTCTCATCACTGCCCCTGTGCTAGGGCTGGCCCCCCCTCAGCATGCCTCCATCTCCCTCAGACTCACCTCCACTGACTGTGGGCATCTGCCGTGTACCCCCCTTTCTCTTGTCAGCACCACTGTGTGAATAATCTAACCCTAGACAACACGACACTGGGTGAAGACGGATGACTTTTCTCAAGTCTGACTCTGGGTGAAGTCTAAAGACACCCAGGGAACACTGTGAGAGGCCAAGAGGGGACACTGTGGGGTGACTGGGATTAATTTACATAATCTCCATGTATGAAAACGTCTGATGAAACATATTGTTTTCCTCAACACGTGCTACTGATCTTTAAAAAGATTTAATTTAATTTTATGTGTGTGAGTGCTTTTCCTGCAGGCACTGTATATGCACAGTACACAGACAGTACATGCAGAGGCCAGAAGGGGATACAGGATCCCAGGAACTAGAGTCACAGGTGGCTGTAAACCACTGTGTGAGGACCTGGGACCAAACCTGAGTCCTCGGCAACAGTCAGTGCTCTTAACTGCTGAGCCATTTCCCTAGGTTTAATGTTTTATTTTAAACAACAAAAGGAATAAATAAACAAACAAGTACATGAATGAAATGAATCAATGTCCAGGAGATAGAATGCCCTAGGAGTCTTTTGTGTTCATGAGGAAAAGGAAGGGAAAGGTGAGAGCCAGGGCCTCTGCTGACAACCGGGAGAGCTATGAGAGTCTGGCCTGCTTGCTTGAGGCTTCTTTCTGGGGAAAATATAAACCACTAGTCACCTCAGAGTGTTATCTGGATTTGCTTTCACATGTACTGGGTTTTGGTCCTTTCTACAGTTTAAATTGTTTTCTACCTGACAGGCCTTGACAAGAAACACCCTGCTCTGGCTTGGGCCTTGAATCTCCTCACAGGAGCCTCTGCTCTTCACTGTGTGGACGATTGTCTCTCCTGCTGCACAGCGCTCCACATCAGCTGACCCAGGAGTCACCTGACTTCATGCTACCAGGCTCTGCTGTGCCTTCACAAGGGAAAGTGCAACACACAAGTGTGTGCTGTCCTTGTGTGAGCAGGGACACTCTGGCCTCTGCAAAGACTACAGGACACTCTATACAAACACAAATGTTTTTTGTATCATCTAGTACATTACAGACAGCATATGAAAGTCAGACTTCATCAAATCAATGGAATTATTAAAGTTCTTGCTATCTTCACTTCAGCTCCTGCTATTTGATATGTGGTATTATATGCTGAAAAGGAGGTTCTCTATCTATGCCTTATATTTTAAACGAAACTGTAAATTATTACCATCCGTACAGCACCACCTTTCCCACGGTTCTGAACCAGCGTTATCACTCGCACTTTGTCACTTCCGTATTTCTGGCAGTATTTTAAAGCGACCTGTTGATGATATAGAAGTCAGAATACAGTTAGCTTGGGGAAGTGATGTCAGGATGTGAGTTACCCTGATGTGATCAGAACATGTCAAATGCATGTACTGAAATCCCGCATTGTGCCCCACAAACAGAAACACTTCCACCTGTCAGTCAGGGCACACATAATTAATAAAACACAAAGAGGAGCAGTAACTCAGATCCCACAAGTCACACAGACACTCCCACTGCAGCTCCTACTTCCTTAGACAGCTTGGCCTTTGGCATTTCCGTGGGGGATTGTCTTGAGTGTTAATTGAGAGTGGAACGCGCAGCCCACTGTGGCACCAAACACTGTGTGGCTGAACAAAGTTAGCAAGCAAGCAGGCAGTGTGGGTACACTTGCTTCTCTCTGCCCCCGACTGTGGATGGATGTCATGTGACCAGCTGACTCCAGCTCCTGCCTCTGTGACTTCCCTGCAGTGATGAACCCTTAGGTGAACATGGGACAGGAAGTAACGAGCACAGCTCTGGGTTCCCCAGCAAGCTGAAATAGGCTCCAAGTTTCCCACCGACCAGCCGTTCTAAAGCACACACACTTACCTGTGACGTCTGGTCTTGACTGCCATCATCAACTACTATCACCTCATAAGTGAACATAGGGTCCTGCTTCTGCACAAACCAAAAATAACAAATCATAATTTGGCAAAACTATGATAGAGATTAATAAAGTTATAACAGTATTTTAAATGTTTTCACATTTGTGTGTGTGTGTGCATACGTGTGGGGGTGGCGGGGATGACCCCGGTACATATACAGAGGTCAGAGGACAACTTGTATGGGTCCACTCTCTTCTACCATGTGAGACACAGGTAGCAAAATCAGATGGTCAGACTTGGCTGCAGGGTCTTTACCCTATGAACCACCTTGGCAGCCCATAAACTGCAATTTAAAAACCATTTTTATTCAAATTTATTTTGATATTGTATACACAATACACACTCACACACGTGGGCATTCACATGCATGGAGGTCAGAGGACAACTTGCAGTTGGTCCTCTCCTCCCACTGTGGCTTCTCAGGAACTGAACACAGGTCATCAGGCTGGCACAAGAGCCATTACCCACTAAGACGTCTTCCCAGTCCTAACGAAGTCGTAATTTAAGCAACAGCTGTGCTTCTGAATACAAAATGTGCAAGCATTTTAAAAAGACATCTTTTAGTGTTGGGGACACAGCCCCTGCGGCATGCCTGCCTAGGATATTTGAGCATCTGCATTCTGCATGCATGTTGAGATGTTAGGAAGCCCAGTATTGGCGACTGTTTCTGAGGAAAGGCTGTACTACAATATTTTCTTGGGGGCTGGAGAGGTGGCTCAGAGGTTAAGAGCATTGCCTGCTCTTCCAAAGGTCCTGAGTTCAATTCCCAGCAACCACATGGTGGCTCACAACCATCTGTAATGGGGTCTGGTGCCCTCTTCTGACCTGCAGACATACATACAGACATAATATTGTATACATAATAAATAAATAAATATTTAAAAAAATTTTCTTTTTGTGTGGTTAGTTATCATTTAAAATTTTAAGGCTATAATCTCATATCACATAATCAATATGCACTCAATTGAGAAGCAAACTTCTACAGATTGTGTTATAAGGGCCCCAATGGATCTCTGTACGTGAATACTGCACATGCATGGATGTCACAGAAGTGAGCCTGGCCGCATTCACTAGTACATAATCTACATCACCAAGCAAGAGACAATTAGGAGGGGGAGCGGACACCGGAGAAATGGCAGCTCCCTGGTTTGTCTCCTTCTGGAGGTAGCATGCTGCATGCTGGGCCTGCCTCCCACAGTGCACCTAGCTGGGGTCTACAACTGCTGACCTGCTTCAGTTCTAACCAGAGATGTGACATTGAAAGAGGAGTGATACCTGTCTCTTTTCTAGGTAGTTCAGGGCTTCATCCATCATCACGGGCACTAAAGGAAAAAATAAATATTTTATACATTGTTTTTGAAAATGAGTTAGCAAACCCAGCATACTTTACTCACATAGGAAGTCATGCCTGTCATCTACCAAGACCCTCAGGGATGTCACTCCGTCTATCCTCACCCAGAATGTCCCTTGTTCTCACCACAGGACTTCTCTAGAGGACTTCAGTCCTGCCGCCTCACTTCCCCTCTTCGCAGTCACAGCTGCCAACCGGGCCCTCCTCTCTGAGGGCAAACACTGCAGGATTCCTTTTCTCCCCAAAGGACCCACTAGGGAATGAACTCAAGTAGAACTTACACCGTTTCTCTTCGTTGTAGGAAGGCACAACAACAGACAGCTGTTTGGTAGGTGAGTCCCAGATGCTGGGTAAAGTTTCCTTCTGGCCTTTGGCATTAAGGAAGAATTTCTCTTCTTCATGTTGGTGATGTGGTGGCATTTTTGTAGCCGTTATAAATGCAATGACAGATACCTATAGGGAGATGTGAAAAGTGGGTTACATTGATCTCTTTTAGTGTTTGCTTTGCTAAAACATCACTATTCGCACAATTTAAAAATTTTTATTACATTTATTTATTTATTTTTGTTGCTGTTTGGGAGACTCTGGAGTCTCAGGTTTGACTCTGGAGGTGATTATGCTGTTACTTGGCAGCCAGGCCTTAATTAACCCCTTCTGAACTGACGACTGTCCTTGACCCCATAGTAATGTGCTAAATGTTTTAGGAGGCCTTGATCCACCTCTCATCCCCCCAGGGCCTCTTCTACACCAGATCCAAAAGTCAATACAGGAAGTCCAGCCCACTACCATATCCTGCCTGGAGCATGTATGTGGTGGACAAATCCATCTGGCAGCTGACCACGTAAGGACCAAACTGTGTCAGCCTATTGGGCTACACAGCAGGGACTATAGTGCTTAAGAATGCATTCTGATATTTATTCTAAATTCCAACTGAGAACAGCATCTTTTGGAGTAACATATAAAACTTGCAGGCTCCTGGGGTTGAAACAGTTGAGAGTACTGGCTGCTCCTACAGAGGACCCAGTTCAGTTCCTAGCACCCATGTGGTGACTCACAACTAATTGCTTGTAAGTACAGCTCCGGGGATCCAATGTCTCTGGTTTCTGCATTCATGTGCTTGTACACACACACATGCACACTTAAAAAAACATAAAATACAATCCTTTAAAAAATGAAAGGAGTCTGGCTGTCCACTCTATTGTCTAGGTTGTGAGGTTTTCAAGAAAGCAACCAAAGCTCCTAAGAAAACGATTAACCCAGATCTGGGGCGGGAAGGTTTATGTTAATACAGCAAAGCAGACAGAAAGCAAAACCGATCTGTACTCAGGAGGGCTTCAGGGAAAGGGGCAGGTGGGCCACTTGAAGTGCTTGCCTCTCAGGCCTGGGAAGAAGGACGTAATCCCTGCAGTGGCTAGAAACATGTACAGACACCGGAGTCTGTAAAAATACAAGAATAAAAGCTGGCCATCGTTTTAAGACACCAGGGAAAGGTCTCAGTGTCTTAAAGACTTGAGCCTCCAGATGTAAAAGGTGTTTCAGGTGACTGAGAACCTGAGGACTTTTCATAAAAACAAACAAAACCCCCACGGACCCATCTGAAAAAAAAAGACTCACACGTGCATTTAATTAAATCCTCAAATCCTACAGGAAATTTGGAAGGCAGACAAAATTAAAGGTGCTTGGGGAGGCAGCCTGTTAAACCCACACTGGCAAACTCGGAGAACTGAAATGGGCAGGCTATTGGAACCACAGAAAAACTAGTTAGGTTTTAAAAGACAGTTCAAATTACCTGACTGCAGCCATGGTTTTTAAAAAGGGATCCCGACAGGAATAAATGCAGATGATTTAGGGCTGAAATGGATTTGTTCTTAAATGATTTTTAAAAACTGGGAGACGGTGGAGAGAAGGAATGACTGCGGGTAGATGGACGATGAGTTTGATGAGTTTGAAGATCCAGCGCACTGCACCCCAAGCCCAACACGCAGCACGACGCTGTACAACAAAGGGCACCTCTACTACTTCAAGCCAAGGACATCTAATAGTGCACACAACCTCATCGTGCACACACTCATCTAGATCAGTGACGCTGACACAAGGCAAGGTAGCCTCAACTCAGAACTGTGTCGACAAAATCCAGGTTGGTATCAAGTCTTTAAAGAAGGCGTTTTAGCAAGAAAGGGCTCCTGGCTCACCCAGACACACAGCGACAAAGTCACCTGGCCACACCATTCCTAGACTATGAATGTGCGTGCATGGCAAGGCGACAGAGGCCTTCCTGGCCGACTGTGAAGCCACCTGGTCTCAACACCATGGAAGCTTTTCAAAATTTCCGTTTACTGAATGAGTGGCAGGCTCTGGAAACTGTGGCAGAGTTGTTGGCGAATCTGCCCTTTTCTACTTACATACCAGCAAGGGTCTGCATCGTTTCTAGAAGAATGGCAAAGAAAATGCTAAGGTACTTGATTCTGGGACAAAACGACCCCTAGCCGAAAACAAGACGAGGTCTGGGCCTGTTTCTCGCTCACCCACCGACCCTAGTCTGCTGGGTCCACCGCTCTCTTCCTGGCTGCAGCACATGGCACACCAGAAAGCTCCGAACTGCAGCATCTGAAGGCCCAAGATGAAGGCTGAGGGATGATAGGCTGGATAGGCGGGGGTCCGGGAGCAGGGACCAGGAGAAGCTGGGTGGAGACGGGTCACTTAGACAAGGTCCAAAGGGGCAAAAAAGGGTCAAGGATTTCAGGGGATCTTGATTCAAGAGACCCGAAAACGAGTGGGAAGTGCGGAGGGGAAGCCCGGAGCCCGGAACTCCACCACGGTCTCACCAAAATGAGCACGGCGGCCGCAAGCGCCACGCCGAGCCCCGCCAGCTGCAGCAGCAGCGCAGACATCCCGCAGCTCCACAATTGCGGAAGCGCCGAGCGACGCCGCGCCCCGTCCAGCCCCGCCCCACAGGAGAGGCCTTGCTGGCCCAAGGCCGCCGCCCGCAGCGCCACCACACGGCCGCGTCCCGCCACTGCAGGAACCCGGCGACACCCGCAGCGCCCTCGCGCGGCTCTAGTGAGGATTGCAGGCTGGTCCCGGAGTGCAACGCACTGGTCTTGTGCGAACTGACATTGCTACCAGCCTCACACCCGTGCAGCGCAGTCACGTAAGGGTGCCTGACTGCTTTAGATTCTCCCCGGTTAATTCCGCGCGCGCGTGCGTGCGTGTGTGCGCGCACGTGCGCACAGGCCCGACGTGGGACCCCGGGGCTGGCGTCAACGGCGGTTGTGACCGTACCGACCCGGCCTCCCCATCAGGCCTGGTCCTAAGCAGGCGCTCGTGGGACGCCCGGGCTCCCCGGAGCTGCAGCTCACGCCCCGTGCCCGGGAGCACAGCAGCCTCCACGGAAGGAGCAGCTTCTCCACCAGGACTCCTCCCAGTCGCCTGCGCCGGAGCCTCCGGCTGTCTGCGCGGCGCGGGCGCGACGACGGCGGCGTGCACAGGAGGCGTGGCGGCGGCTGGGGACTCGAGTGCTCCTGGGGCTGCGGGAGGGCTCTGCCCACGGGAGGCGCTGAGCGACAGCGCTGCCAGAACCCCCGACCTCTTATTCGAGCGCCACGCCGCTCCCCACTGGAAACCAGCGTTTCATTGTTGGTATGACGTGGATGGTGGTAAAATGCTGATAACAGAATATCTTAGCCGTTGTCATTATATGATATTGATCCAATAAAAATCAAAATCAACTTAATGGCTTTATTTTCCAACATTCATTACCTCCCAAGCATGTGGCAACTTAATTTTCAAATATAAATAATGAGAGAAGATTCATTAACCACTATTCACATTTAAAGTCTTCATTTCGCAACGGCAGCTCATTGTTTTTTTCAAAATCAAGACAAATAGGGTACCTTTTAGTAAATTATTCATTAGCAAGAGGGGGAACCTCACTTTTTTCATCATCAAGAAAACAGTTTCCTATACTATATTTCATCCAAGTCTTATAACAATTTAATCTTTCTGTGATCAATGAAAATTACCGAATTTAAGTTACAGGAATTTCCAGATACGATTAATTTAAAAGTTAATATAAACACATCAATTTTAAGGGGAAGGAAATGAAGGACAAAACAAAACACATGTTGTTTGGATTTCCAGTATGAAGACTTGTCACGCGCGTCAAGGAGAGAAGAGGTGGGGAGGCAGGTGACTTTAGAGAGAGAGAGGTAGGCAGCAGATCAGAATCAGCAAACTCAGGATCAAAGAGACAGACGGAAAACAAAATAAAAGTTCCTTCCTGAGTTTGAACTCAGTGGGCCGAGAAGACCAAATGTAGCTCATGGCGACTTCATGGTAGCCTGGAGGGGCTGTGTTAGGGGCAGGATTTCTGGGAAGCAAAAGTACAGTAACGCAGTGTTTAGAGATGAATCTCAGGATATTCGGTATGAAATAGTTCACAGAGGGATAGCAGGAGCAACTCTTTGAAGGAGTGTGGTGTCTCACTGTCAGGTTTCATCATAATCCTAATGAGTTTTATGTTAAGAGGGAATGGCATGCCTTTCTCCCTTGAAAGAGCCCATCTTCAAAACCTTGTGTACACCTAGACAATCTGCACGTGTATAAGCAGGAATCTACTTTTCAATGACAGTCTTCATAAATGCAGGAATTTATGAAATCTAAGAAAACAGGCCTTTATCAGTCTAATAAAATTAGTTTGTTTGTTTGTTTGTTTGTTTCTGGTTTTTTTGAGACAGGGTTTCTCTGTGGTTTTGGAGCCTGTCCTGGAACTAGCTCTTGTAGACCAGGCTGGTCTCGAACTCACAGAGATCCGCCTGCCTCTGCCTCCCGAGTGCTGGGATTAAAGGCGTGCGCCACCACCGCCCGGCTAAAATTAGGTTTTATTAGCCAGTTAGTCATGAATTCCATTGCAAGCTTGTATGACTATAGTGTTCACACATTGTCAGGTGGACTGGAAAAGACCATGTTACTCGGGGTAACTGAGTTATGTGAATGCACTTCATCAGCTGCTTTTACATCAGTACTTTTGTGATCTTGATCAAATGGTGTAACCTCTCTGCTTCTCATTCCATAGCTCTATAGAGAAGATAATGATGACTCTTACCTCTCGGACACAGAAAATGACGATATAATGTAGACTTGTCGGAAAAAAAATTTCTGTTTTGAAGATTTAAATTATTTTGAGATCTCAGCGCAGCAGCTTCTCTTAGTGGATACATGTAGCCAGCACCTCCTCCTAACGAAGCATCTCTTTACAACACATGAAGAGCATCATAGGAAATCACAACTGTGCACAGCGAAGACAGAGACCAGCATTTCATGGGGGACTCAGTCCCAGTAGACACATCTCCATTACAGCTTCTGCATCTATGGCTTGGGAAACATCACTGAAGAGAGGCTGGAAAGACTCGAAGAGTCAGAACACAATGAAGCCTATTCTGAAGGTTTCTTCTACAAAGTGTTGTATACAGGAGCCCAGGAACATCGGTGGCAATATCATGTTGACGTGGAAGGGGGAAAGTTTCACCCCAAGAAAAAAAAATCACAGGCAACTAAGGGCTTCTGGGAGAGTAATTAGAATTTCCCAGGGATGAGGTTCATTTTGACCATCTAATTTTATATGTTATGCCTCGAAACCACATACATACAAACAACAAAACCAAACTCAGCATGTTGAGTATTTGTGGGTTATTTGCTCTGATGTGACACTACAAAGGTTCCCATGAGCAGAGGACAAACAGTTGAAACGAGGCCATTTGTCCTTTCAAAAGAGTGAACCACAGAAAATAGTCCTGTGTGTCTGATTACGTTAGGACCCAAGAGTTTGGGGAGGCACATTGCTAATTATTCTATCTATCTATCTATCTATCATCTATCTATCTATCATCTATCTATTCATCTATCTGCCTATGGTTATGAAAACCTATGCTAAAACAAGCAATTGTGGTTTAACAATAGTTCAAAAATATTTTTTTACAAAAGCCAAAATGTTGAAGAAAATAAAATGCCCGTGTCCTTTTTTCAGTTATGGCATGAGCCCTAGAATGCTGACATCAGAGTGTCTGTCTCCCTGACTACTACAGAGTCCTCAGACTTCAGTGGTTGGTCTACCAACTGCTGTGGTCATCTTTGGTGCTTAGTGCCAACAAAGGAAAAGATAACTTCACATTCATTAAAAGTTTCTCCATTCCAGGGTCTACTGTAAAGGTATTGTTAATAAGTGGTTATGATTCTTATGTTAGACTAATGGTATCATGAAATAATCTATAACTATACATCTATGTTTATCTATCCATCCATCTATCATCTGTCTATCCATCTATCATCTGTCTATCCATCTATCATCTGTCTGTCTATCTATCTATCTATCTATCTATCTATCTATCTAAGTATACCTCTTTGTCTGTTTGTCTATCTGTCTAGTTGACAGACTAAAGGTATCATGAAGTATTCTATATCCATCTATCTAGCTATCTGCATCTTTCAATCTATCATCTATCGATCTATCTATACCTATTTGTATATATAAATCTATCCATCTATCTATGGTTATAAAAATCTGGTGCTCTTTATAAACACTTGTGGACCAACAGTTTCTCAAAAATAATATTTTCAAGCCAAATCATGGAAGGAAATGCATGTGTCACTTTGTCAGTTATGGCATGAGCCTTAGAATGTTGACATCAGAGTGGTCTGTCTCCCTGACTACTACAGGGTCCTCAGATTTCAGTGGTTGGTCTACCAACTGCTGTGGTCATCTTTGGTGCTTGGTGCCAAGGAAGGAAAAATAATTTCACGGTCATTGAGAGGTTCTTCATTCCAGGATCCACTGTAAAGGTGTTTTTAATAATTAGTTTTGATTCTTAATACAGATTAATGATATCATGAAGTGTTCTATATCTATCCATCTATATCTATCATCCATCTATCTCTATCTATCTATCTATCTATCTATCTAGTTGAAAGACTATTGTATCATGTAGTATTATCTATATCAATCTATTCATCTATCTACATATCCATCAATCTATCAATCTATATTTGTATGTATAAATCTATCCATCTATCTATGGTTTTGAAAATCTGATGCTACTTATAAACCCTTATGGACCAGCTGTTTTTCAAAAATAATATTTCAAGCCAAATCATGGAAGGAAATGCATGTGTCACTTTGTCAGTTATGGCATGAGCCTTAGAATGTTGACATCAGAGTGGTCTGTCTCCCTGACTACTACAGGGTCCTCAGACTTCAGTGGTTGGTCTACCAACTGCTGTTGCCATCTTTCGTGTTTAGCCAAGGAAGGAAAAGATAATTTCATGGTCATTGAGAGGTTCTCCATTCCAGGCTCCACTGTGAAGGTATTATTTTAATGAGTAGTTCTGTTTGCCATGATAGACTGATGGTGACAGCAAGTGTCTGTCTTGATTACTACAGATCATTTGAGATAATTCTTGACTCAGTAGTGGCTTTACGAAAAGCGATCCATGTTAGCAATATTCAGTACCAATCCCCTTAACAAATACAGTTATGCCAGGGGAGGTATGGTCTTGGATACACAGGAGAATACTGTGTGTTAATCTACAAAATTATCTGCCCAAGTTATGAGATGATGATTATTTTCTGCTCCTTCTCATTGTTTTACCTACTATAACCACAATGATTTCTTGGAAACCTGTCAGATTTCAACCCAAAATATAAGAACTCTCTGGTTTTCAGCATATTGTTATAGTTTCCAACATATATTGTGTTCTTTAGAATCCATTTCCTAATATTTTACCAATGATTTAGATTAGAGAGGAATGATTCTCAAAAATACTTTTTTACTTTAATTTTTATCATGGAATTGAGTTGGAACTATTTTTAACATGTATGAGGACATATGTTTGACATGTGAGAGGAAACGGTAGGCTGTTGCCCCTTTTGACTCTTTGATCACAGGGATCTTAATGCTAAATAGAAGCTATGGTGTTTCAGTGCATATTCCTTGAAATCTATAACATATGTTTTGGACAGAGTAATATTCACTTAAAGGTGTATGTTTTGAGTGTTCACACAGTATGGGCCTGGCACAGGAAAGAAACCACTGAGGTAGCTGCATTATAATTACAGGGAAAATTTTATTGTGGGTAAGAGAGAATGTTAATGTTCAGAGGCAATTGGAAGAGTTTATAGCAGAAATAAAAAGAAACAGATTTGATATTGCCAAAACTGTCTGTGAAAGAAGGTAGAATTGTGGAGATACCTGGACAGAGAAAAATTACCCTGTATTATAAATAGAGCAAGGCGAGTTCTAGAACATCTGGGAGTTTGTATAGTGCAGACGGAGAGGGGGTTGTTGTGGGGAGACAGGAAAGTGGGGGCTGTGAGATAGATAGCAAGCACTTTTGAATAGAGACACAGGGAACTGGAGGGCAACGTGGGTGTTGATATCCTGATAGGAGCCAAAGGTCAATGGCGAGCCACATGTCGCTTTGCCAGAGGCGAGGGAAATGACTCCTTTTGCTGTTCAAGGACCATTTCTCAATTTTTTTTTTGCTTTGGTTTGTCTTTGTTTTCTTTGTTTATTCTAGCCATCATAAATCATTCTATAGTCCGTCTTGTGCAGGACCACAAATCTGGAATTTCTCAACAAATATGTTCCCTGAGTCCTAATTATTTTAAATCATTAGGAAAACCTGCTTTTAGTTATTTATTTTTTGACATCTTTTCACTTTCAGCTACAAAGGAATGGGTTTGATTATAGCATTTTAATACATAGATTACTTTCTGATTTTTTTTATATCACACTCCAACATATCAATCCTTTTAAATTGGATTACACAACAGAAAATCTTTATAAAGAATTTTAAAGTTTGGTACGGCTTGGCTATCTTAATTAGTACTGTATAGTTACACATATCACTGAAAACACAAGAGTTTGCAAAAGGTACAATCTACTACTCTCATCAAAGTTCAATCATTTTAAACACATGGGCATTCTAGTTTGATATGATATTTCTATGATTATTATGTGTCCACGCTATACTACACATTTAACATTCAGGTTTACAGACTCTCTCAGGTTGCTTCAGTCACAATCCTTTGTGGCTCAAGGCTTTATTTCTAAGTATGTGTGTCTCCTCCATAGTCTTCAAAGCTTCCCGACTTTCCTGTACATGAAAATGTCTGACTGTCTCACTGAGTTACATTCGTTTATAAAGTCTCCTGTGACTCTTGCATGTGTTACTGGATGCTGCCTTTATCACATGGATCCTGGTTAGATAAAAAAAAAAAAATTTAAGGATTGAGAATCTTTGAGGATAAATCTGTATGTCACAAGGTTTTACATAAGTATTCCACTGTTATTGCACACATATGATTGCAGTTAGGGTTAGCAATGATATCCGTGTTGATATCCAATGCCATCTTTCAGGAGTCACTTACTTAGGCCTTCACTAATGTTTGGCATTGATTGCTCCCCTCTCTGAATCTCTCTAGAGTATGACTATATCTTCTCTCCAATAGGACGCCTTGTGATGTGTTTTCTACTTTTATTTTAAATCACAACTGATGTTCATAGATCCCAATACTTTTTTAAAATTTGAATTTATTAGTCAAATTTTAAAAGTGATTTCAAATGAGATAGAGTTACATCTCTCACCCCTTTCCTCACTCTAGGCCAGTGGTTCTCACCTGTGGGTGGTGACCTTTTGGTGGTCCCTTATCAGATATTCTGCATGTCTCATGCTTCCATTAGATTCAGAGCAGTAGCAAAACTACAGTTATGAAGTAGCAAGAAAATAATTTTATAGTTGGGGTTCCCCACAACATGAGGAACTGTACTAAAGGGTTGCAGTGTTAGAAAAGCTGAGGAACACTTCCCAAGACCCTACCAGTACACTGTTTAAACTTTTCCCATGACTCTCAAGTAGACAGCTTCTGAAAAAGAGCCCACTCCTGCACTATGTTCCCAATCCTCCTTTTCCGAAGCAACCTCTTCTTTTCTGTTATATTTTAAAGATGTTGAAAGCTCGACAGAGTTCAGGTGGGGAGTTGAGCCTGTACTTTTAGTCTCTTTTATCCTGTGAAATCCAGCATAACAGCCACTGAATACCTGTTCTTCTAGTTGGAGACCTGCACCAGGAGAAGCCTTTTTTCCCCCCCTAAATGGAAACCCTTGAGGAGAAAGCCGTGGGAGAGAAACATCGAACCTTGCTCTGCCAAGGTCCCGTGGAACTGAGAAGAGGCTGGAGAAGGAAGAAACAACACCTCTCCTTGCTCAGTGATGTGTTGGTTGTGTCTAACAACCTGTGAGTATGTGCATTGTGCCTTCCTTACTGTGAGACGCTACACTTTATTAGGCCTTACTGTATAGAACTAGAAAGGATTTTATTTCTTTTATTGTTTGAAATTATAAGTACTTCATTAGCATTTCATCCTTCCCTTTCCTCATGACAAGTCCTCCTATATTCTCCTCTTGCCATCTTTCAAAATCATGGCTTCTTTTTTATTAATGTTTGCTACATATATATGTTTGTTAAGAAACATGTATATACACATATGCTATATATTCTGTGTATACTAACTAAATATAACCTATTCAGTCTGTATGTATACACACACACGTGTGTGCGTTTTCAGGGCTGTCTATATGCTCTCTGTAGGGAGAGAATATTTATTTTACTGTCAGAACTCTTTGTTGGCCTATAAATCTTTGAGTAGGGTTGAGGTTTAATGGACTTTGCCCTAAAATATTTCTCATTCGATTTCAACAAATGTTTAAGTCATATTTTAAAACCATGCTTTAAACCAGTCATATTTAACGTGTTGTTTTGCTGTTTGATCCTGTGGAAGGAATAGCAGCAAAAGTGAAAAGGAGGCAGCTACAGAAGCACGTGAGGATAATGATGTCTGCAGGACAGAGCTCTGTTCTACAGTATACACAACCTACCGGGTTCATTTTCCTCTCAAAGTTCCCAGCCCGTCGGCTGATGGTTAGTTAGTGTCGGACTGCAGCATGGGTGAATGGCCTGACTGTCTGTCTGTCCGTCAAGCTGTCCATCTTTCTAGTCATTTCCTGTCAGATCCTCTTCAGTCCACAGTTGGAAATGCTCACATTTATTTTAACAAGATAGTAGTAAAGTCATTTGAAATACAAAAGGAAATACTGACAATTTGCTACACGAGCGTAGTTTGTGAAAGTAAGTGGAATTTACCATGTTTTTGAGAATTAATGAAAATAAGATGGTTGACTTTCTTAAAGGTCAAAAGATTTGTTCTCTGCTGTTGTGTTATGACAGCAGGTAAAGTAATTTTGAGATTGTCATATACTTTATGGAATGAGGATTGTCAAGTTTATAGGAGATGATTTTTTTTTTCGAGACAGGTTTTCTCTGTGGTTTTGGAGCCTGTCCTGGAACTAGCTCTTATAGACCAGGCTGGTCTCGAACTCACAAAGATCCGCCTGCCTCTGCCTCCCAAGGGCTGGGATTAAAGGCGTGCGCCACCACCGCCCGGCTTGAGATGATTTTTATTATTACATTTTCTTGGCAGATTATACCTTAAAATATTATAATTAGTGGTTTCCTGTTTAAGCATTTCATATATAGAGATATATTATCAAATTGCATATAAATACATATGGGATTAGCTGTCTTGAGGGTAAAAAGCAAAAGAGAATACGGATGTTTCATATATTTGAGACATAGGTAAGTATGTGTGTGTATTCTGAAGCAAATGTTACATGATATGCTTGTATTATCAGTACATCATCTTACACTAAATGGGGTGGCCGAAATTTCTTTGTGGGATCATGTTAGTCTCATATATTTTGGATTTTAGATAAATTTCCATGTAGGATTTTTGAATCAGAGGTTATACTTTGATATATTGTTTTCTGAATCTGAGAACAGGGAGTCTTTATTGTGTGGCCGCCTCCTAGCTCACAAGTCTCCAGTAGAGAGAGTTCCATGTCCAGGTTCACACAACAAATGCTCCGGGTAAAACCGAGTCCATCATTAAAAAAAATATAAAAAAGCACGGTAGTGGGAAAAAAGAGTTGTCAAGAGATAGAAGGAACAGAAGAGAGAAAGTGATTGAAAATAATCCGAACATATTGTACACACATGTGAAATTATCAAAGAACAAACTCCATACAAAAAATATAAAAAAAGTCACTCGATGCTCCCAGTATGATTGTTTCTCAAAACAGTTTTGATTTTATGAGAAAGCTTGATAGGAAGACATTTCTAGTCCTCTGACGAGGTTATATGAAAACCAAATCCTCTTTGTGCTTAGCTGTATGAGATGCACCTCGTGGGTTTAATAAAGGGCGTTGTACTGAGCTCAGGTTCTCCTGCGCAGTTGCTGACATGACTTGCTAGTACAAGGGAAACGGCAATGGAATTTGAATTTTGCTAAGTCAGGCAATATTTCTCTATTATTTATTATGAAAAGGTCATTAGATGGAGTCATTTAAGTAAAATATAAAATATTATCAAACTTCTTGGTAGTGAAGTTATGGAAGAAAATAAGCAGAAAAGTTTGGCACTTAACTAAAAAGATGGTAGAATATTGTAACACGCGGCTTTCTAAAAATGCCATGTCTTTAAATAACACGGTATGGTCATTCTGAACACTCATCAGTCATAAATAAAGTCCATTCTATGATTGACTATTCTTGGCCATGAAAAAGTGTGAACCCTGTAACTTCCTTCAGCACAGATGTTGTGAAGGCACATCTACATGACATGCGCTGTGCCGAGGTGACAGAAAGGGATGAGTCCTCCTCTGCTCTGGAGCAGGAAGAACTAGGTCTGAGCACAAGTGATTCCAACTACAATGAAAAGCAAACTAACACAATGACGTGACTCTCTTTCAGGCGTAAGAGAAAGTTCAAGACTAAACATGTCATCCCCCTGAGTTACCTGTGGATGGGTGATTATGTGGACATAGTCGGGAGAGACAGCAGCTCTGCTTGCAAGTCCATTCTCCTGTCCTGGCCCGTGGGAAATTTTGTGGCCACCTTTCGGTAAGACCTATAGCTTGGAGATGTGTTGACAAGAGGCCAGCTGTGGAAATTGTCAGTCAACTTAATCCTGTTTTATTCACAAGGAAAAAAACCCAAATCAATTAACCGGAATGTTTACAAATTGTGAAATCATTTTAGCCTGATTACGTACCAACTCAGGCTTTTCCCTCCCACGATGACCCTGGTTTTCTGTACTTTCCACCACACACATTTCTTCATGTAAGTAGATTCTTTAGATTCTCATCTGTGGTGTTCATCAGGACTCCACACGATCCTTAGGGTGGAAATGAGATGCGTTCTGTCCTTTGAAGGATGTGGACAGGACAAGGCCTTACTCCATCTCCACATTCTCCTTCCCCAAACAATCTGATACTGTCTGGGTTCTCATAGAAATTGATCTCTCTCCAGGAATATTGTATAGTATAATCAAATTTGACAAATACCTACTATACTCCCAAGTGAATTTCTTTATCTTTTTTTTTTTTTTTTTTTTTTTTTTTGGTTTTTCAAGACAGGGTTTCTCTGTGGCTTTGGAGCCTGTCCTGTTCGAGACAGGCTGGTCTCGAACTCACAGAGATCCACCTGCCTCTGCCTCCTGAGTGCTGGGATTAAAGGCGTGCACCACCATTGCCTGGCTAAAAATGTTATCTTTAATTGTACAGATAAACATAATTACTCATTGAAACTCAGTTCTTGAAGGTTTGTACAGTGGGATGTATATCTTTGGTGTCTATAATCAACTCATGAGGACCAGTGTCACTAGACCATCAGAGTCAGGGTTAATTTTTGAGTTCATATAAATGTCAGATTCACACGCTTGTCTTTCATGAGAGGATGTAATCATGGCATACCGGGTATACCTTGAGTGGCATCTTGGAATCACAGGATTGTGTAGCAAACACCTGCTCTGGGCAGCATACATTTTTCTTTTGAGTCCACATGAAAAACTCATCATATGCAACCCCCAATTAGGATTCTCCTCTTTCCTCTGTCCAAACATCTAACCTCATCACAGAATTGACTCAACTAACACAAGCACTTGCAAGTTTTATAAACTTCCTAGGACCCGTGAGTTTGCTCTTACCCAGGGAAAGAATTTCCTCGGGAATCTTTGAGAAAGAAGATCATCTTTGTGGCTTTCTTTTCCCTTGCTAATGTCCCTGAAGAATGTATATAGATATTGTGTAGTGTTTTCCCCACCTTGAGATTGAGAGGAAGTACTGTATTTTGGGATGTATGAGGAGTTTCATGACGGCATTTCCGTTAAACTTTTCTTTTCATGAAGGAGTAAAAGCAGGAAGTCTTATTTAGACTAGTTCACATTTAATGAAATATATATCAGTTGTTTCCAATCATGCATAGCACTAAGTGCCTCCAATGTCACTTTCTGTAATGGTGAGAACAGATGTGTTGTCTATGTCCATGTGCAGGTTGGGGATCATAGGCACAATCACCTTTCTGATGAAACTGGTTGCAGGCAGATTAAAACGTGGGTGAGCATTAATGGTAGAAACATGAAATGTGCCAGTCTTTGTGTAAAAATCAGTCCATAGTTCCATAGAAATTAGAGAGCATTTCCATGTGACTGTGCAGCCCAAACGTGAATGTAGGACCATGGCAAAGGGAGAAGTAAAGTTTCTGCACGAATGTTCTTCCCAGCATGGACCATTATTTTTCATAAAGTGGAAAAAAATCACATATTAATTTTATGTGTAAAATAACAATATGTGGCACAGGTTTGTGAGAAAGGGGAAATAAAAATAGTGAACTTCACAACCAGCCTCCACACTGTAGTGAACTTCCTCTCATGTGAGGTTTCCGGTGAAAGAACGGGTCAATCAGAGCCCCGCTCCTGTGGAGAATGCCACCCACCCCTGTGCCCTCACTCATGAAAACTGACACATAATATCTTTTATGGGTATAGTCTTCAAAATCTTAGTATCAATGTTTCAAGAGTCTAAATGTTTTCCACGTTTTACATTACAGTTCTATGGAACAGAAAGATCGGTGGTATTCTTTTCTCCAAAGGTATATTATTAGCGTTCATATTTTATTCCTTAGTAGCATGCCGTGTTCCATTTTAAGTATATATATGCCTGCCTGCCTTCTTTCTTTCTATCTATCTATCTATCTATCTATCTATCTACACTTATCTGTCTATATATGTGTACATATGTACATATATGTATATATGCATATCTATTTGTGTATATGTATGGATATCTATATAAAAATATAGATATATGCTATATATCTGTATATTTATATACTATATGTTATATTTCTATATTTGTATCTATCTATCTATCTATCTATCTATCTATCTATCTATCTATCTATCTACGTATCTATATATCTATACATCTTCCCTTCACCCTCTATGTGTGGTAAACTGTACTCTCCAGACTTGCTTTAAATGGATAGATTTATCTATATATATAAACATATATAGAGAGAAGTTCTCTTGTTGATTTTCACCCATGTCTATTAATATAATGTTTTCTTTGTTGCATAAAAGTAATTTCTAGCCTGTAACATAAATCATGATATTTATCAATATAAATACATATTCCTACATATAGATATATTTATAAAATCTGATAGACTGACTTCAAATGTGCTGTTGATTAGATGGTCCCTGACTACTGCTTTAATTTCTCCTATTAATACACAGAGTTGGTTTCACTTTGAGGAATTTCTGGTTGCCATTCTCTTCATTTTCTCCTCTTTATTCTATATATTGGCGTAAACAGTACTCTACCAACTTATTTTAAATTCCCCTCAACACAGATTTCTCTACCATGAACACTCAATCCATCTGCTGCTTCCCACTGTGAAGTGAAGCAGGTTCCTGCCCTTCTCTTGCAGACAAAATATTTTGAGGACTGGCTATGTTTCTAAAATAATAACTTAGGGCAGCAAGCTATTACCTAAACATGTCTTTGTTTCTGAAATACTTCTGAATATTCCCTAATCTGTATGCATATTTCTGAACCTATAGCTTTACATTAATGATATTAATAAAATAAGCTACTAGAAAATTCATTACTGTATTGTATGTTTTTATTGCATTTGAACAGATCCATTAATGACGCCACAAAGGGCTACAGGAAGCATTTTAAACTCCCGATATTCACTGAGGATATCCCAAACTGTGTCAGTGTATGTGAATATAAAACAAAAGATGAAACTGCAAGTCCATTACCAGAGAGTAACAGGCAGTTTGTAGAGCTGTGGAAACTGGGAACATAGGAAGAGAGTGAAGGGGAGAGAGAGTTTGAGAATTTAGACAACATTTTTGTAAGGGGTGTATGTGTATACCATGCCTATATGTCTTTCATATGTGATATGTAGAAAGCAGCATGAAACAAGATTGATCCATATTAGCTACAGTTCCCCCCAAAAGAAATAATTTCTGCTTAAATGACTGAGTAACCAGTACCTAAGTACTTGAAGTTAAAATAAACATGTTACTGACAGTCTTCTCGGGTTATGATATAGAAAGGGAAAAAAACAAGATATTTATTGTACATTAGAAATGTCATATGGCTTGCAGATTATAAGTGATGGCTAGACAATAACAATGAATAACATGTTCCCAAGTTATTTTATAGCATTTTCTCTGCATTTTTATAGCCTTTATATATAACAACAACAGACTTGGAGACAGTCAATGACATCATCCAGAAGTTACTCCCTATGATAGGAATGCCTGTAAGTTACTATCAAGCTACTTTGAGTTTTGTTTTCTAGATCTACATATGTGCAAATGTGCATATAAATATTTACTTAAAAATGTGATCAAGATAAATTTACATGTCATATTTTAAAATAGTATTTTGGAACTGAGGCCTCAAAGATAAAATCATAGATTTTAGAGGGTCATTTTTCTTGGATATTTTCTTGGCCATTTAAGATTCATGTGAAATGAAACTCACAGCCCAGTGGTCTTGAGCTATCTGTTTGGTCTTACTATTGAATTAAAAAATTAAAAAATAATGGACAAAATTTAGTCATACACAAATACACACCAGATTGAAAGACTGCCAATCTTAGAGGGAAGGCAGCTTTTCTCCCTTTTCCTTTCTAATTCTTTTCCTTTACTAATTGTTATATAGTTCCTTCTCTCTTCAATTCCTTGCTTTTCATTTCTTTCTGTGTAGTTAGTTGTAGGTGTATGTGTTTGGGTGTGTTCTTTTTTCTCTTTTTTGTAATCTTTATGCATATTGTCTGTCTGTTTCTATCTCTGTTCTTTTGCTCTACATACATATCTGTGTATATCTTTGCATTTTTGTGCTTAAATATACATGTATATCTCTGTGTAGTTACATCTCTGTTGTGCGAATGTGTCTCTGTATGTATGTATGTCCCCACTCTATCACTTTCTGTGAGTTTGTATTCTTTCTCTCTCTTTGTCTCTCTCTTTGTCCAGGTCCCTCTCTTTCACTTTGTGTGTGTATGGGGTGTGGTAGTGCTGTGTTTGCCTGTGTGAATGTGTATAACTGCTAGTTTTAATGATTAAGGCTGCTGTAGGACAATGTCTTTTTTTAAAGTCAGGAACGAAAAGTAAAGTACAATTAGTGATAACTCCAGTTGAAGTCTATTTTCCCTTTTTCCACTCCTCTAGAGTGCTAAATATTTCAAAGAATATAATATTTAGATGGTTGATTCAAGGATCCATTGCACCGTGTGCAGTAATTAGATTGTGGAACTTGTTTTCAGCACCTGGCCTATTTTCTAGGTTAGACACATGTCCTTCATCTCCATAGACAGGACATCTCTGAATGAAAGTCAAAGTTGTTTTTACTCAGAGGCATCCCTCAAACCTCCGTGATTTTGTCTATTTTGCCCAATGCTGCCGAAGTTACCACATCTTTCAAGTGATACTTTACTCAAGAAATCACTTGAGGCACTGAGGGTGTATGGCTCTCTGGATACTAGGCTGTGTGGGCATTTAAAGTCAAACGTCAATATTCCACACTCAGTGTGGACAAACAGATATAACAGATCTCAGAATAGCATTTTTGTTGGTAAGTGTTGATGGGTGAATGCAATTTCTTATCCCATAGTTATTCAGATCCTACTGTGGATCAAAAGATGTAGGTTCCTTCAGACAGGCTGTGCAAGTACCCAGGGTTGTCTGCTGAGATCAGCCCATATGACTCAAACTGTAGTCAGAGGACACATCATTAGTACTGCCCTTAATGGTTTTCCTGCTAGAGATCTGGGAATGCTTGCAAAAGGTATTCTCCAGAGTCCACTTTGAATGGCTATGTGTGATGGTTGGATCTTTTTGCCTCCCAGAGTGCTCAAGGTTACCAACTGTGGTTCTGTCGTGGCTATGAGAAAGCCCCAGGCCTAGTCCAAGGTAAGCAATAGGGAAATCTAAATAGGGACTAACTAAGTTCAATGTTCTCACTCTGAACTCAACGTTTTCATCATTCAGTCTTAAAGTTAAATGCACATTAAAATAAATAACTTAAACATTATTTTATTCTTTGATTCATAATTACCAACTACTTAATATAACCATACATTGATACCATCTCTTTTGGCAATAGTTTATGAACTGGTGGGAAAAAAGTCTGGAATTTTCTTACACACTTCTACCTGAGAAACAGAATTTCCCTAAAAAGATAAAGAAACCAAGACTTTGGGTATCTTGTTTCTAAAGAAAAATAATTAACATTCATTTGTTGAAGATTAAAGACAATCCTAGGGACTAGAGAGTTGTCTCAGTGATTAACAACACCAGTTACCTTGTTGTTTTTTTCAAAGGTCTGGATTCAGTTCACAGCACTCACAGACATAACATGGTGCACAAATATACATGGGAGCAAAACACAATTACATACATAAATAAGTCTAAAATAAAATTTAAATTTTTTATATGAGGAATGTTTAGTTTGCTCCTAACTACATAGCTTCCGTTTTGGAAAGAATGTGAGAGATCTAGCCATTTCTCTGACCCCGTGTAAATACAGGCAGCTCACATCTCTAGGACCTGTATTTCCCCACTGAATGGGAGGTACGATGTTCAGACTCTTGGAGCCTACCTGACGGCATCACCTGTGATTCCTTATGTTGCATTTTTCTGGAATTTTTCGCAAGCATATTGACACATAGGTAATAGTAATAGTAGATTTATCAGAAGCATTAGGATAAGAATTAAAATTGTGAGATTACCAAGTCTGCTCACGAGCAGGCTTTTCAATTGGTACTGAACAGGTGATGTTCTAAGACATGAAGTGACCCTCAGACAAGTAACAGTGAGGATATCTGTTGGAGACTAGAAAACACTGCCTTGTTCAAACCTTTCTCGTGTACCCTGAGAATAATCTGTGTGCATATTTTTGATTATTCAAAATAAACTGAAATTACACTACTATTTCATTTATAATATTTACTTTCAGGGTCTTAGTACATTGGGCAGCATTAGGGGCTTAATTCACCTCCACACTGGATACTTTGTTTCTTTATAGCACAGGCTATTAATATTGAGTCAGATAGGTAAGGGATTCCTGGTCCACAATGTCACAATCAAATAAATGCTGGGAATACAGGCATGTGTCAAAATGTCTGGTCCTTCTGCTTTTTATTTTTATCTGTCTGTCTATCTATCTATCTGTTTGTTTGTTTGTTTGCTTTATGATTCTAGGCAAAGCATTTTTAAAATTTTTAAAAATCTTTTCTCATTTTACATACCTCTCCCAGTTCCCACTCCCTCCCCTTCTTCCACTAACTCCACCTTCTTCCTTCCCCCATGTACTCCTCAGGGAGGGTTAGGTTTTCATTTGAAATCAACAAAGTCTGAAACATCACTTTTTTGAGGCAGGAACAAGGCCCTCCCCTCTATATCTAGGTTGAGCAAGGTATCCCTCCAAAAGAGAAGAAAAATGTAAACCATGGGAGTACAAGTAGCAAAAGCCACTCTGCTGCTTCTGAAAACCATGTCGTCATACTGTGAGTGGAAATAGATTCTTTATATGTGTGACAGATATCATAAAAGAAAAATATTGAACAGAGCAGTGCTTGACACGATTAAGAAAATTAACTTCAACATTACCTGTCCCCAAACCATAGAAACATCTTTCCTTTCCATGCTGAAGTAAAATTCCAATGATGCAAAAATCTTGATATCAAGGCAGAAACCAGCAGTACTTAAACCTGTTAAAGGGGAGCACAGCAAAAGTCACCCCTATACAGTGTACTGATGGCCTATGTTCTTCAAACAAAGTGACAAGTTCAAAGTTTTCTTCTCTGTTTTTAGAGATCTCAGCTTACACATCCTTCCCTGATGTGTATCCAGGAAGGCCACTGAGGCCCAGTCTACTTTGACCAGAGCACAGTATAACAATGTGTGGTAAAGCACATTGGCAGGATTTGTCTCATTCATTACTATGAGTTACAGCTCATTCTTATTTTCTTCTCATAGAGCATGAGCATCCCTATGACATTATAATGAGGAACAGCCTAAGTACCTTCAATCGAAGGGAATCAAGAAATTTCACAGCTTTTCCTGCCCTGCCTGGGCTGTATGTGGAACAACCAGATATACAGGGACGATTCATCCTAAAGCCCAGAGAAGCAGCAAGAAGTCAGGAGCAGAGCAGTGAGTCCATTACCTTCCTTCATGTGTCCTTTCTCAGTTCCAATTTCTATCCTGCAAAAAAAAATCAATACAGTGTGTCATTTCTTGGTTCAAAAGGGGGCACTGTCGAGAACAAAAACAAGTTACTATATGTATATGTGCATAAACACACATGCAAATGAACACACATACTCACTCACACATCCTACTACATCTGTATAAATTTACTTGTAATTTTGGTCTGAGTATTTGGTATTGGATATCCAACCTATATAGCATGCTGAGGAAGACTGCTAATTTTGTATTTTGTTATGTGAGCCCTTTGTTTACATTGAATGCATTTGTTGTAACTAACCTATTTAAGATTTCATTGTGGTCCAATATTATAATAAAAGCAATCTTAGAAGAGAAAAGGGAACTTTGATTTCAGCTTTGAATTAATACTATAGGGGCAAGGACCCAGAGTCTGGCTGACAAACGTAGTCATGCACACTTTCCTATGAGGGCATATGCTAATGACAAAAGAAATTTGACAGTGGGTCTTCCAAAAGTTCAACAAGAAAGCTAAGAATGGGGAGAGACACACTATGACATTTGAGAATAATAGAACACTATTAGATCTGAACACCAGGAGTGTGACTATGAATAAGGATGTGACCACGGAAGCATCTGACTGTACGTAACACAGGCGCTTGTTCCACTGGGCATCAAGAATCTCATGGTGTAATATGGGGTCAGACAGTGTTGAGTTGTGAGATTCCCACTAGAGGACACCCAGTTCAAGTCTCTAAGATTAACAACAGCGTAGACTATAGGGAAGAAGAACATACGCAATGACAGAATGGGTAGCCAATTTTAGAATGTGGGGCATTCTATATTACAAATGATTATTACTTTGATTGTATGCATTACACAGGACCATTATGCATTTGGAAATCAGTAACAAAGGCTGCATAAATTAAAGTAACCCATATAATGATATCATCTCCTCTTTAGATACAGAGGAGCCAAGAGCTACGAAAAGACGGCCTTTCATATCTCGGTGGTTCCACAGGGGCTCTGTGCATCACCAGGACCAATTGTGCACAGCCCTGCCAGTTGCTAAGACAGGAAAACTCTTTGGAAATGATCTGACTGCCATTTGTGAGGATGGCAATCTGCCCACAGCAATTCTGGTAGGTCTCACATGGTCCTTCTCTGGCTGTCCTAAGGACAAAATCCTGCTTCTCCAAAATACCAAATACTTCTCCAAAATACTTCGAGTCTTTCCTCAAGTGGAGAAACAAGTGCGCATCAAATCATTGGCTTAAGATTAGGAAGGTAAGAGGGTGCTATTCACCAGGAACTGTGTATTGGATAAGTTGCAGAAATCACTTTTCCGTTGTGGAAAATCTGATATAAGTAAATAAATAATGCCTTAACATTAAGGTGGGTTGGGTACCACAGATGATAGAAGCACCAAATCCAGTTCAAGTCCTCTCCACTCATGCCAGGTCGTGCACTGCACCTGTGCACACCATTGGCCTGGTTCTCAAGAAGAAGGAAATCATGCTCTGTGCTGCGGATAGAGTGACAGGTGCTTCTCTTTCTTCCTCTCAGGACATCCTATCCTTTATTAGTGAAAAAGGGCCAATCACTGAAGGCATCTTCAGAACATCAGGTGATATAAGGGCATTCCGAGCCCTAAAAGAAAGACTGGATTCTGGGACAGAAGTGAACTTAAACAACGAAAGTGTCCCTGTGGTGGCATCTATCTTAAAGGTAGGGAGAGTCTTGTGTCTGCTGCACTCTAGAATCCTCTGAATCTGTGTGAGTAGTTGCCTTCACTGTGTTTAGTCTTGAAGGACGGTAGACACAAATGATAGAAATCTGGTGGGCAAAAGGTCGCTCTGATGTTCACAACCTCAGGATCCAGCATAAATCAGTTACGGTGGACAGTAATGTAGCTAAACATCTTTAATTTGATGCCTCCGTCTTCCTCACGGGACACTTGTTTCAAAATAATAGTGTATTTAGTATCATTTTATAGAAGCCCATGAGAGTCACCCTGTTGCAGGCCTAGTCAGGTATGTTTGATTTCTGAAACTTGCATTGATGCATGCAAAAATGAATGATAGAATGAACAAGATAAAAACAAAATTATGTAATTTTTTGAAAGAGAAACATTACAATAGCAAAACAATTCATACGCATGCTTATTAACAGATCCAAAATATTATATGTATATTATATATACACATATGTGTGTGTGTGTGTGTATATATATATATATATATATATATATATATATATATATATAACATTAATCATCCCCGTTCTATAGTATTTCTATGACCCTCATTATGGTCTGGCCACACAGTGAATATCAACAGTTCAGAAATGACTTAAAGCAGGCAAAATAACACAGTTTAGGTATATAAAGTAGTCAGGTATTACCTCTGTGAGATACACAACTGAAATAGATTTGATGATACAGGAACACATATATTAAAACTCTAAATTTTCCTTTATACTACCATTTCACATCCTAAATAATTAGCCCACCCTGCTACTAAATATGCTATCAGCACCACGTAGGAATTGACAATGAGTCATGTTTGCGCAGTAGCTCAACAGCAATTTCCCTTGGTGCACTGAGGCTCAGGAATCCTCAGAGGATAAGCATGCTCTGGAAAGGGAGCATGTTCAGTGACATCAGGCAGAGATGATGCTGTCTCCTCCCAGACTGTCTGCACCAGCCATGGCGTTTTCTGCTTCTAAGCACAGAGACCCGCTTGTAAGAACACGGTGAACAATACAAACAGTCATGGTGGACTTTGCGTATCTGTTATGTACTAATGATAGAAGAGAGGGTAACTGGTACAGTTTCCTCACTAGCTTATCTCAATTACTTCAGTCCACACATGGTACATGGGACAGCTCTAAAAAATACTTGATAGTTTTAGATAACTGATAACGGAATAATTCCTAATGTGTAATAATAAAAGTAGCTTGGTACATTTCTTGAAAGTTAAATCCATATGACCAGTACAAACAGCAGTGACCGGAAACTGTCAAGGTGGTTTGAAATCTTAATTTTTCAATGACTAACATCAAGGCACCATTCAGTTTTAGCTAAGAAGGAATTATGCAGGTTGTTGCATTGCCGTCTAACCTGAGGTTTCTGTTTTCCTCTCCTGAGTGCAGAGATTGCAGGAGCATGGCACTGTGCTTTCCATGTATTCTCACGTGTCACATGCCCAGTTTGTGACATTCTCTTGACAGTCACTATAAAAAGACACACATTCCATTTCCACCACCACTTACAGGATGGTATTAGAAGCATTTTCTCTCAGGACACACAGCACATGAAAGGAAGTCTATGCTCACTCAGTCCTTCCTCATGAGCACATGGGTCCCTGCAATTAGATCACGTTTTCAGAGCCATTAGGATTAGAAGCATAAAGCCCTTGATTGTGAAGAAATGAACATAATGTGTATTTTGTCATTTAGAAATGGGATTTGAGATAAGATACTGATTTCTTTAGTGTGTGCTAGTTTTCTCTACTCAAAATCTGCTCAAAACTCAGAGGGTCTTCACGTCAGACAAGCCTCCAACTAGGGCAGGCTGGGAACTATGAACAAAGTTGAAACTAAATGGACTTTTACAGTTGAAAGTATTTTGAGTAATTTCTGTGATTTTTTTATTTTCCACATTATTTCCTCTTTGTCTGTAAGGAATTTCTTCAAAATATACCAGGCAGTGTGTTGACGTCTGGACTTTATGATGAATGGCTCGGTGTCCCTGACCAAGAGTGTGAAGAGAAGAAAGTAGCTGCAGCACAGAGGTAATGCTTCACTGATGGCTGGAACAACACTAACACAGTAGAAGTCATGTTTGCTTAGACACATTAGATTATACAGCACAGAATACTAAATATATTGACTGAGAACAAATGGTTTCAATTGTTCACAATCACAGAAGAGGATTTGAAAAGAGAAGTATGATTTGGGGAGTCACAGTGGCTCGTATTTAAAAAAACTCATCATTATGTGTATATGTATTGTATATTTATTAATTAAATTTCACTATTTATTTCTGACTTTGGGGAGATATTCCAAGCAATATTTATAGGACACATTCCGCTTTTCATTTGATTCTCAGAAAATCATGAATAAGATACAGATTATTACTCTGTTCCCTTTCTTCATATTTATAATTTTATAAGTACAATTTATTGTTTTAAAATAACTTATCTCCGTGTTCAGTCTTTTAGAGCAAATACCCCAACCAAATGTCTTTCTTTTGAAAACACTTTTCGGGATATTGTACAAAATTGAGCAAAAATCTGAACTCAACCATATGACATCATCAAATTTAGCTGTTTGCATCGCTCTGAGTATTCTATGCCTGCCTGGTTCCAGCAACTTGGAACTGCCAGATGTCTCCAAAAAGGTAACAAGACAAGCATTTTTTGCTTATGGAAAACAAGTCTTCACAATGAGGCAAGAATACAGGAATATCCTGGGAGTCTGGGTTTTGTTCATTTGTTCATTTTTGTTTTGATGTTGTTTTGTTTTTTAAATAAATGCACCCTTGATTTTCATTCTTCTGTGGGAAGAATCATTTGTGTATCTTGAGTCAGGAGAATTTAAATGGGTATTAATATCTCAGTCCTTTGTCAATTGTGATTTAGAATATTGTTAGATTAATCCACTAAGTGCTAGTGTTCTGAAATGATAAAAAAAAAATATGGTGCTGAGTTCAGAAATCAAGGCTAAATCCTTGATGCCATCACTGAGGGGTGTGGGAATTTTTCTTTGTTTTCTTTTTTTTTTTGTTGTCTTTTTGTTTTTTGTTTTTCAAGACAGGGTTTCTCTGTGGCTTTGGAGCCTGTCCTGGAACTAGCTCTGTAGACCAGGCTGGTCTTGAACTCACAGAGATCCGCCTGCCTCTGCCTCCCAAGTGCTGGGATTGAAGGCATGTGCCACCATCGCCCGGCTCTTCTTTGTTTTCAAGGTGGTTTCCCAAGTAAACAAAGGTAATGTGGATTGCTTTTCTCAGATACGGTTGTTCTAATATCTGGTTAGTGTGATTAAATATATCCTCAGCCTTTTGTTGCTAATTTTGGTTGGATTAGAGAAATTCTTGAGAACACTTTTCTATTGTAGGCATCTTTCAAATACTATAATAAAATAGCAGGATTTATTCAATATAAAGATCAAATGGTTATTTTGACTCTCGGTATTTGAGTTTCTGATTCACTATTGATTGCTCTTTGGACTGTAATAAATACATTAAAGAAAGGCCTCATTGATGTTGGTTACTTTTACTCTTCGCTCTTTTACTTTTTGTTCTTTGAGCTTTGAGGGACTTGCCACCGGCTTCCAAATAAATCCACATGAAGTCCTATTCTTTCTTATGAGTGCCATGCCTTAGTTTTGCTTGTTTCTGGTAAACTTTCCTTAACTTAAATTATCCATTCCTCCTTTAGCCTCTGGGCTTTAAACTTTGTCATATATACCTTTTTTTTGCTTCTTACTCCCTGGCTTGCTGGGTAGCTGGGTAGCTGGGTAGCTGGGTAGCTGGTACTTAGAGTTCTCTTCCCTTACTTGTTCCTAGATATTGCTCCTCTCGTATTTCTCCCATTTATTTTCCTTGACTGCCATTCTCCCAACCCTTCTTCCTCACTGTTGGATGTTCAGCTCTTTAGTAGATCAATCACGTATTTTAAACAGGGGAAGTAGCACAGCCCCACAGTTTAAAAATGCAATATAAAGGAATGTAACACATCTTTACATTACTAAACAAATATTCCATAATCTAAACAAATGTAACTCATCATAAAATAATAATCTACAACATCTGACTCAGAACATCTTTTCCTCATATTGTATAGCATCAATGAATGGAAAAGAAAGTTAGGATCCAAACAGCTTGTCATTGCAGTCCCACAATTATTCAATATCAGCCAAATAGGCCTTCCTCCAAATACCTCCCAATGTAATAAACCTGCATGTCAAGCTGTTAGTATTGCATCTGCACTGAACAAACAAGAGACCCATGAAATCTGCCCTTCATTTTTAGACACCCAATCGAACGTTCAACACATGATGCCCTCATTCAAGGGTAGTCTTCCTCCTTAACTGTGCCTTTCTGGAAGCATCCTTACAAATATGCTCAGCCATGTCTGTCACAAGTGGAAGGATTTTAGACAAGTTACTCATCACAGTGGGAACACTGGAAATCATCCCCATATGGTATTGCATTATGATGGTCACATTTTAACATCTGGTCATAAAATATTTTCATTTTTCTAACAGAAAACTCCCCTCTATTTTATAGAAGGTGACTTTTTCTCAGAATTTTGAGGTACCAACTTTTAGCCTCAAGGCTAAAATGAGATTTACAACCATGCAAAAGGTCAGAGATCTCTGTGTTTACCTCCTTTTGTCACAGATTTCTCTGGTCAGTTTCCTAACTGAGAATTATCCAAAAATATTTAGAGAAGGCATTCCAGTTCATCGTGAGAGTCCATCGGTTTGCTCTGATGGGGAGAACACTTACAACGCCCTTAACACTCAAACTGACAAAATTGTGATGGAAGAAAGTGAGCGTGAAGAAGACCCCTGCCCCAGTGGCAGCACGTGCCCCACAGGCAATGATGTACAGCCCAGAAGTCCAACTGCTCCTCGTCACAATGAGGAATTAGAGGTGAGTATAGATGTTCTATTATCACAACTTAAAAGTTAGACACATTTATACCTGAAAACACCATTTACAACAAGCATCTCTCTCAGTCTGGCTTTCTCACCTAAATTTCTTCCCAGCTACTGGCCTTTTAGCTTTTTATTAACCAGTGAGAGTAATACATATTCATACTTTAGGAAAGAACAGCATTCCCCTTGTTTGTTTAATTAAAAATAAAGGTTTTAACCTTAATATAATACTATATACCACAAAACAGTTAATAAGTAAAAATTATCGTAACAATATCCATTCCACTGGCATCTGACAAAATTAAAGAAAATATTTAATTATCTATCTTGGTGAGTCTAAAGTTTTGTATCTAATTTACTTTCTATTATAACTAAGGAAATGTCCAATTAAAACTATTTAGTCCTCAACTCCATCAAAGAACCCAGAGGGTGTAGTGTTACCCAATGAGAAGGGACATCAGACTGCCTGGACAGTCACCCAAATTTCCACTGTAACGCTGGGGCATCCAAATCTGCCCTAAAAGCCTAGCATATCTGACAGACTTTCCTGTGAAGCAGGAAATTTTGAAGGACAGTGCAACCTAATCCTGTCAAAGTTCATCAGTCGCCTTTCTTGTATCCTGCTAGTTCAGTTTGGAAAGTAACCATCAGCAGTTGAGGCAAGGGTAGTTTCTTTTTCACATGGTTAGCTTTTGCCATAAGAAACAAACTCCGTATGGAATTTTTTCAGTGCCCATCATTTTCTCTATTTTAATTGGTGTTGTAATAGGAGCAGCGGGGCCGCGTCCCAGGCACCCGGCCGCCTGCACGGCTAGCTTTACCCAAAATAATTACACAGAAACTGTATTCTTTTAAACACCGCTTGGCCCATTATATCTAGCCTTTTCTCGGCTAACTCTCGCACCTGGACTAGCCCATTTCTAATAATCTGCTGTAGCCCACAAGCTGGCTTACCAGGAATGATCTTAACCTGCGTCTGCCTGGAGTGGGAGAATCATGGCAACTCCCTGACTCAGCTTCTTTCTCCCAGCCTTCTGTTCTGTTTACTCCACCCACCTATGTTTTAACCTATGAGGGCCAAGCAGTTTCTTTATTGCTTAACCAATGAAATCAACAGATTGATATATGACACTCCCACATCACTTCCCCTTTTTCTGTTTAAACAAAAAACAAAGGCTTTTAACTTTAACATAGTAAAATTACATATAGCAAAACAGTTCTTAAGCAAGAATCACAGTTAAAATATTTATATATATTTTATCTTTTATCAGAACAATGGAAAACTATAACTACCTATCCATTCTTCAACTCCATCAAAGACTCCAGAAGGATATAATATTACCTAAGTAAACAAGAACTAAGAAACTTCAAACTCTATAAATGACAAAGACATCTCGCTGCCTGGACAGTCACCCAAAGTACTTTTATAACGTTGGGGCATCCATCTTCAGCCTTTAGGCCCATAGTATCCAGCAGACATTTTCATCAAGCATGAAATTCCAAAGACAGTTCAGTCACTTTCTGCTGTGTCCTGCAGAATGTCTCACAGACTCTTTCATGAGTCAGGAACCCCAAAAGACCGTCTCACCTTTAGGCAAGTTCAGCAGTCCTCTCTCTGCGGGTTCTCTGTGTCCATTTAATGCAACAGTCCAGGCAAGAGCAGTTTCTTGCCCAAATGGCTATCCAACTCCATAAGGATCCTCTTCGATGCCCATCTTCCTCTCGAAGTAGATTGGTGCCACCAGGGGCAGACATGTCTCATTGTCATGAAAAACCCTAAGTTATTAAAACATTTAAAATGCCATATTCTGCAGTCTTTGAAAGATATGAAGAATGTCTATCTAACTGAAATGTATCTCTATATATCTAGAAAATCTAACTAACATGTCTACAAGCTTTACTATTATTGATGATTATCCATTAACAACTTATATTTTCTAATTATACATTACATTTTAAATGAACTACACAATCACAGTACCTTAATCAATATCAGAAATACATATACATAACAAAATTGACCTTAAAATCCATACCAATGCAAATTATTCATACCTATATCATTTCCCCCTTTAAATGTAAAAGAACATTTATAAACAATATTTTGGGAAAATGGGCACAGTTTTTTCTCTCCAAACTGCTTCCTGCTGAATGGGGGCGTCGTTAATTAGGTCTTTCACGGTATAACCTGTGTGCTAGTTTCATCTCAGTTGGCAGTTGAGCGAAGCAATTTTCTGAAGATGTTCACAGCAACCGTTCAGGAGGGCGAGGTCTATCATACCACATTGAAATAGAAGAAATTCACAGGGTCTGGTCCTCTGTGAAAACAAAAGAAGACCTGCTCCAAAGCATCATATCCTTAGACCCAAATTTTGAAATCATAATACCCTTATATCCATTCTGGTTTATCTTGGCAGCCCATGTAATGAAATGTGTCTCTCTACTTAGCCCCTTCACAGTCAAAAATTTTAAAGAAAACACAATGTACATAATCCAGACTCTCTGTGAATTTTCCATTTTTACGTGGCTTATTTTTCTTTATTTCTTTTAATCTCTTAACTATCTGTACTCTGTCTCTTTAAAGACTTTACCTTTTTTTTTTAAACCATCAACTTTATTCTCTATATTCTTTTTCTTCTGTCTCTCAAGCCTACGTACATTCATCCAACAGTGTGGTCTTTTATGTCTGAATCTGTTTTATTGTGAGTCTGTAACATTTTTTTACTATCCAGGAGCATTTCTTAAAATGTTAAGCAGTTCTTAAAAACTTAAGTTGCACCACATAGGGGTAATAAGGTCCCGCCTGTTTCCTGCCCAATCGAAACCTTAACTGCGCTGTTATTATGGTAATTACGGCAGTTCCTGCCTGAGGTCAGCACAGTTCAGCATGGAGCAGCTGCTCCTGCCTCAGATCCATTTGGTGCCCCTGAGCTGAGCACAGTTCCAGGCACACAGCAAGTCCACATCGGAGCCGCACTCAGCCGTTTAATTCTGAGACTGAGCGTGCAGCACAGAAACTCTTTTTATCCAAGTTACAACCAAATCTGACATGCAGAGCACTGCGCAGTGTGGAAACACGTCTCTTCCGCCATGCTCTTCTGCCTGCCTAAGCCTGATTCTGCCCAGGTGCAGGCTGGGAGCGCTGAGCCATTGGCACAGTCTCAGAGCTCCTTCCGATCCCAAGCGGGAACACAAACATCCAGCCCCATAAAATCCATTGAAATGTTTTAAAGCCAGAGTTCACGCTGGCAGCACAGCTCCAGGAAGCTGCGCTTTAAAATGACACAGCGGATTTTTCTGCTGCTGATGCCAAATCAGGAAATCTCTCTACAGCATGCCACCAACTAACAGCCAAAATCTGTGTTAAACTCTCTCTCCCTTATTTTTAAGCCTTCTCAGGTTTTTAAGTGGATTTAGCCCATCACGTCTGGGCGCCACTCTGTTGTAATGGGAGCGGCGGGGCCGCGTCCCAGGCACCCGGCCGCCTGCACGGCTAGCTTTACCCGAAATAATTACACAGAAACTGTATTCTTTTAAACACCGCTTGGCCCATTATATCTAGCCTTTTCTTGGCTAACTCTCGCACCTGGACTAGCCCATTTCTAATAATCTGCTGTAGCCCACAAGCTGGCTTACCAGGAATGATCTTAACCTGCGTCTGCCTGGAGTGGGAGAATCATGGCGACTCCCTGACTCAGCTTCTTTCTCCCAGCCTTCTGTTCTGTTTACTCCACCCACCTATGTTTTAACCTATGAGGGCCAAGCAGTTTCTTTATTGCTTAACCAATGAAATCAACAGATTGATATATGACACTCCCACATCAAATTGGTGCCAGAAGAAGACTATTTCTTACTATTGAGAAAAGTTTTGAAAACTTGTTAAATGTCATATGTCATATTCTGTATGTTTTTGATGTGTTTGAAGACTGACTATCTGAAATATATCTATGTCCTTGAAAACCTGCCTGACATGACTATAAATTTTCTATTATAGATGATTATTAATCCATATTTCTTAGTTATATATTAGTTTTTAATTGAAATTCATAAACATAATACCATAAACCAGATTATAAATACACATACAGCATAACAAAATTTGTATCAATAAACCAAAGTCCATACTAATGTAAAATATGTGAGATTGATAGTAGTATTTTGGATTAAAGGAGATTCTATAATCTACCTTTTTTCCTATCATTTCTCTTTTCCCTTTTTTTATTTTGAGAAAAAGAATCCTCAATCTAATCTCCTTTGTTTAACTTTATTCCTGACAATTCTCCATAACAAGTTGTATCGAATCCCTTTAAATGATAACAAACATTCATAATTTATTTTGGGGAATGTGGGAATATGTCTCTAGAATACTTTTTGCTAGTTGGGGTGCTGGAATTCTGGGGGATCCATAGAAATCTTAGTATTATTGTCTTAGTATTATTGTCAAACCTAAAAAAAGGATTTTAGATTCAAGGTTCTTGTTTTGAAATGAAAAAAGGGTGATATAGATATGAACCTATCTTGAAAAGAAAAAAAGGGAGGATCTAGGTATGATAAGAATAAGTGGATTATTGAATCTACTCTAAAAGAAAAAGATATGATAAGATAAAAAGGTAGATTATTGAATTTACTTAAAAAAAACAACTATTACTTTTAGATGTTTTACATTGGTTTGGACTTTTGTATATTGTACACAAATTTTGTATATTAATACAAATTTGAGATTAATTTTGTTAAAACATATTGCAAATACATTTCTAATCTTGTTCTCTACGCATTGTAGCTATTCATTTCATTTGACAATGTGATGCAAATTTCTAGTCCTTGAAAATTGTTATTACTAACTGTTTAGGATAAGAAGGAAATACTGGTCAGTAGTTAATCACCTAATAATCAAACTTGTAGTCATATTAGGTATGTTTTCAAGGTCAAAAAAGATTGATTTTATATAGCTCATTTATATAATTCTAGAGAATATGGCATTTAAGGATGATTTAA